GGGCAAAAATAAGCCGTGCGCTCTGCAATTCATGAAAACGAAGGCGAATGCCCCAATCTAGAGAGTGTGGTGGTGCTTTAGCGAGCTACAGCACAACCGGAACCTCTCAATATCGGGGCACTCTTCAAAGGGGGCCCAGGAACATGCACAACATTCTTTTAGGCGATGATGCAATTGAAGGGCCCAGGTGCCCCACCTGGCCGGCGGCAGCAGCAACCACCCTTCCACAACTTCTGCTGGCCCAACCACTTCCAGCCGCGTCTCCCTTCATCCAAAACCTACGCGGATGAGGAAAGGGCAACCCAAAGCCCGCTGCGCGCAGCCGCATGGGGCGCTTACTCACCCGCAGTCAAGCTCGCACACGCCAAATGCTCGCAGGGCACATAACAATCTTCCCTCAAGGACGGGTCTTCGTGCGACACTTCCCAGTGCGCTTCCGCTATGTCTTTGCCTGGCGCGCAAGCTCGCCGAATGCCGACATCGGGCACTACAACCGCTGCGTGAAATCGCAAGCTGCAGCGGTTAATCACGAAGGAATTAACCAAGCGCCCCGCATTGCCAGCAGGCTCAGGCTCGGGGTCCGACGAGATGTCAGACCAATCATCCTCAGAGGACTCAGGCTGCGGGCACAGCACCAGCTCTTTGCACGGAGCTTTGGCTCCACGCGCCTGTGGCCGTAATGGGACCCAGCCACCTCGGATGGCATGCACGATCTGCAGCTGGGCACGCAGAGCTGGCAGAACATCATCCCTGCTGTACTTGTGGACCATCTGATCACCTGCATCCCGGGAACGGTGATGCCCGAGCATCTTCCTGTCTTCTTTGTCCACATTCAGCTGGAGGGCCCACGAAAGAATTGTTGCCTTTAGGGAGTGAAGAGTGTATCCCAACGCTAGGTCCGCCGGGACCCCAGCCACAGTTACTAGCAGCCGGCGAAACTGGCCCTGCATGTAAGAAAAGGAAGCAAGGACACCGCTGGGCCCTGGAAGCAAGAAATCCAGACCCTCCATCTGCTCCCCCAGCCGCCGCACGGCCGGGGACCAGGCCGCATAGATCCCCAGCGTCAAGCAACCAAATGGCATTGGAGAGTTCGAGGACTTGGTCTTCCAGCAAGAGCAGCGCACTAAGCCATCCGCAATGTCCATTTCATCGACCGAAATCCTTTGCGCGTCTGAGTACCTCAGCGCCCCCCAGAGCATCAGCAGGAAAGTTGTTAACAGCATGTTGTCCCAGTCATCGGAAACTTCTTCGCTCAACAGCCTTTTCTCGAACGCAGCGATGACATGAAGGGGCAGCGGCTGCGCCTCGCGGCTCCCTTTTGGCAGGCCCCCTGGCTTGGCCCAGGCTGAGACCACAGGATTCTCCAAGTCCGCAGACAAGTCCGCCCAGCCCAACAAGGAAGCCACAAATTTCAGCGACGACAAATGGGACGGCGCAGACTTGCGCAAGGAACTGAAGAATAACAAGAGCGTTGGCACTCCCGGACTACCGACTGGCACGCGCAAGTCCAACGAGAACTTGGCCCAAACCTTCCAGCCCGGCAAGTGCTTCCGCAAGGTGCCCGCAGCCTTCCCTCGAAGCATTTGCAACAGACAGGCTTCCTTCATCTGCCCAAGCCCAGCGAAGAAGGGCGCGGACTCCAACTCAGGCTTCAAAATAAGTAGCCAAGTTCGCGCCAGCTTTTGCCACTCTTCTGACTCAACCTGCCGCGCTGTGACCCCTGACGCAAGCCCCGGGTGCACTGCCCGCGCAGGGATCTGCCCCGCAGCCACTCCCGATGGGCTGATGGGCGACTCTGCTGCGCAAGCCTCTTTGGGTAAGCTGCACGCCAGAGGCACCAAAGGCTTCCGCACGGCGGGCCGAGGGAGCCCCGCCGCAAAGCTGGCCGACTCGCGCCGCGGCCCAGTGGCTGGGCGCGAAAGCGGCGTGTCCGGCCGGGACAGCCGCGCGTAGGGGCCCAAAGACCCCAGCCACGGGCGCGGACGCCCAATGTCTTTTGGCATCGCAGCAAGACCAAAAAAAATAAGCGCAACACAAACCAAGGGCCCCCTGTCAGCTCAGAACAGTCCAGCCAGGGGGGCGTGCACTCTGGGAGTCATGAAAACGAAGACAGATCAACCCGAAACGGCGAATGCCCCAATCTAGAGAGTGTGGTGGTGCTTTAGCGAGCTACAGCACAACCGGAACAAGTAAACCCTGGAGTCACATAAAGTTCACATGCCCGGTGATTCTATTTCGCCGTATACCCAAAGGAACCAGCCAGCTGATCATCTAAGAACCAAAAGGAAAATGGACCTGGGCACCTACTTTTTAGGCTGCCTGGGATTTACTGGGACAAACCTCACAAGCGAAACCTCAGCGAATCATAAAAATGGTGGGGAAATGGGTGTGGCTCAGCATTAAAAAGAGCTGCGGGTTGCACAGGTTTTTCGTCTTTGGTTCCACTTACCCCGGCCAACTCGAGCTGGACATCTCCCCAAGGGGAGAGGGAGCTCCGTCCTCGCCCCGGCGCTCGAGGCAGAGCTGCTGCACCCCGGTGGTCAGCTCTCGCGGTAGCACCTCACCGTCCAAGCGAAGGCGAAGCCAGGGCTATTGGAATCCACGAAGCTGCGATACAAAAGGGGCTTCCCACAGACTGGGAGACCCCCCCAACCAAAAAGGGGGGAGGATCCTCGAAGATACCACAGAAGTGGTTGGATAGAAACCTCGAGTGATCCACCACAACCCTGGCTGGGAATGAATCAAGGGAAACATCCAACTGCTGGTTTATGGTTGGTTTGTGGTGGCAACATTCAGGTGGCTTATGGTTATGGTTGGTGCAACAGTCAAATTGCTTCATGGTTGGTTTGTGGCTATCGTGGCAACATCTAGGTGGCTTCTGGTTGTGGTTCGTTTATGGTGGTTTAGGGTGGTTTAGGGTGGTTTGGCCAACGCGGATACTTTTTGGGGTCTTCTCCTACGTGTGCCCCGTGTTTTTTGGGGAGTCACTGCCATGGGCCCAAGCACCTGAAAGGGTTGGAAAACTCCAGTGGAGGACTGCCCATCCAAAAACAACGTGTTCCGAGCTCTGTGGTTGATTGGACTCCCCAGGCGACGGAAAACTGGATGGGAAAGGTGATCCGTGGGTCGAAAACTGACCAACGCACGCCACATCCGAAGTAGTCGGAAATGGCGCAACCCGTTCCGTAGGCTTATCTCCTGTGTACGGAAACTCCCTTGACCTCGAGTGGCTTGGAACAAAAGTGCACCATTTGGGTCTCTTTTTTTTGAGGTGGACCCGCAAAATGGTGGTTGTCCTTTTGGTTTTCCTTTGAACAGCAAACCAACTTGATTTTCTATCGGAAATCCCTCAAGGCACACGTGTACCAAGGTCTTCCACCAGCCTCTAGCTTAACCCGTTCCTGAAAAGACAAACTGTACATGGGGAGTGAGCAATATTATCGGCCCCGGCCACAACCATGTGTAACTTTCCGATGTGGGACATATCGTCTTTCTGGTGGTTTTCCAACCAATGGTCATCCCATGTAAAGGACCTTTTTGATCAACCCCCGCATTCCACTAGTCAGTTGGGCTTGTTCGGCATACCCGAACCCAAAAAACAGGTCTGAAGCTTGTGACAATTTGAAACAAGTGGAGGCCATCAAATCAGAACGATGAACTGCCAGCCCAAAGAAGCTTATCCGGGGCTTCACAAAACCGTGGAGGCCCCCTTCGGCGCAAAAGGACAAGGGTCATTCTTTTGCCAATAGATAAGGTTTAACAAGGGGCCATGCTCCAATAGACAAAACAAGGCACGTTGAAAAGCTTAGGATCTTTCGAAGACTGAAATGGGTGGGGGAAAAACCTGGATTAATCCTTGCAACCTTCTCGCTTGGTATCGGTTAATTTTATCGGCGTGCGATCTTCTGGGGCTATGTGTCGTTAACTGTGCTCTAATTCTAAGTTGCTGACGTGTCACGCGCAACAGTGACAAAAACAACCAATCCATACCCTTTCCCGGCACATACATATATATATATATATACGTTGGCCTCACGGGCATCCGAAGGCTCACGGGCGCTCTGTTCTGAGTTTCCCATCATGTGCAACACAGCAACTGGGCAGAGTTCCCTTCGATTCAAGTGTCCCAAACGGGATCCTCGTCCAATTTGGCTGACAAGTGGTTATCCTGATGGGTTTCAAGGGAAGCCAAAAGGGGACACAACCATATTGGGGGTCCAAGGTCTTATAATCATTGAAACATTCCAGGCGACCTCCCCATTTCCGCCAATCGCTCGATAGGGTTCCCGACAATGGTGGCGTTTACCAGCGGCTCCTTGCAAGTGAAGGGCTGTGCTCGGGCAGAACCCTCAAATGAATATGTAGAGGTTGAATATTCCCTTCGGCCCTCAGGCATGACCATGGGAAACTGTTCCATGTGGGAAATATCATCTTTTGGCTTCCCCTGATCAAGAAGATGGGATTCTTTGGGGGGGGGGAGATTCCGTTAAAGAAACAAAAGGGGAACCCAAAACCGTTCAGGGGAACGAAAGGGATCCAAAGACCAATTGGAAGCCGCTTCAGCAGGAAACAATCCAAACACCAAAGGGAAGCCGAAAGGGGCCGAAAGGAACCAAAAGGAACCTCGCAATCAGACACCCCTTTGGAGCAGTGCTAGAACAGCTCGCGCGCTGACACCACTTGGGCCCCTTTAGACGGCCCAGCCAGTAGCCCTAGTCAGCCACATCTTCAGGTCTGTGTACCGAAGACAATCCACTTCGCAGGGATGGATCCCCTATCCCATAACATCTGTCGAAATAAACCGCCTGCCAACTTCCGCCTGGCGAATGACCGCAGACCGCAGACCGCAGACCGCCTGCACCGTCTTCGGCGGCATCGCCGGTGGCGAGGGGAAGTCCCCGGCATGCTCCACCACCACCTGGCCAGCAAAAACATCGGGCCGCGCGGGTGAAAAGCAGCAGTTTTAGAGTGAAAAATCAGCGACTCACTTGAGTTGATTGGCCAAAAGTAGTCACCAAACTGTTGGTTTGCCACTAAAATGGCAGTCAAACCCCAAAAAGTGACCTTCCGTCCAGGAGCTGAAGGAGTGAGGTTAGCGTGGGCTTCAGACTGTGGAGGCTTCCCAAGAAATGGGGCCAGCCTCGTCAAAATGTCTCTTTTCGCACAGGAGTGCCACCGTCAAAAGCGGGAGTACAAGGCACACAGGGGTAATGTGGAGTCGACCTACCCAAAACCATGAATCCAAGGGGGATATCTGCGTAGGTGTCCTTTTAGAAGAGATGATCTGGTAAATTGTTGGAATCAAACCGAAACCGGTGGAATCCGTAAATGTTCCAACCCAACTGACCTTTAAGGCCACCCTTGGCTGAAGCGTTCAGACCTTTTTTTCTTTTTGCGAAACCCAAGGGGCTTGATGGTATAAGTTTTGGTTTAACACCAGCCTTGGCCCGTTTTCAAGGAAACGTTGCATAGCTCGGATTTTGTCTCACCTCTCCGGTCCTGCCTCCTGGTCGTTCGGCAGGATGAGGCGGTAGGGCACCGTGGGGTTGGTGGCAAGCACATCCACGCCTGATCTCCCAAGCAGTTTGGAGGGGAACCCAGTTTTCAGAAGGGGCACAAAAACGCCCCAGGCCCAAACCACCCCACCAGTCCACCCCCTGCGCGATCGCCGCCTACGGTCCGAGGGAAAATTCAGGGACTCCTGTCCGAGATGTGGCTCGATTCTCTCGCCGAAAGCGGGTGCCTCGCCGTGGATGGACCAAATCCAGGGGCGGATGACGCCTCCATCCATGGTAGCAGCCGCCCAAGTCAAAAACTCGAAGAAATGGGCCCCTTCCAATCCGCCGGCGCCTCTGCTTGCCTTCTCTGCCTCTTGAGCCCGTGGGCCTGAGCCTTGGAGGCGCAAGCTACTGACGACTGCGCTTTGTCAGATCACGTGGTAGTACGTGGTCAGCTCAGAATGAAAGCCGCGCCTGGACGCGGCAAGCTGCGCACTTAGCAAGTAGTTCTTGATCGTTCTGTGCTGCGAGCTCGCCCGGTGCTGACCTTCTTGCTCCCGTGCAAGGTAAATACTCGCCAAACCACTCGCTGACACCACGCAGCCTCACAAACCCGTGGTGGAAACCGCGCGCGAACACGGTAACCTGGAGTTCAGGCGTGGCGTACGTGAACAGAGTCATCACGTAACGTCCGTCAGCTTGCCTCCGCTCGTTACCGCCACGGAACGCACGCAGCTGCACACGACTTCTTTCAAGCTTCAGGTAGCAGCACGATTGGTGTCCAAGCCAAGGTTGACGCAGGCTCCTTCGGATCAAACAACACCGGTGCAGAAAAAATGAACCGTCCCAACGTCTTGGCTCTGCGGGCTCTGCCCTCCGAACAAAATGGCACCAGCTTAAAACGAATCCAGACGGCCACTGGCGTAGCCGGGACAGGGCTGCAGGCCTGAAGAACCAGTTGGGATGGATGAAGCCCCATCAATGCTAAAAAAAAAACCTGCCAACTGACGCATGGTTTTGTCCATCCCGCAATAGGCCGGGTTAAGCTGGCTGGCTCCTTTCCAACTTCAACTTGGAAGTTTTCGAGGAGTTCGTATCCTTCAAGCAATCTTTTGGTGGTGATGTTGAGCATTGTGAATCAAGGGGGCAGGTGAACGCTGCTCCCAGACTATCCATCGCCACGTCTGGCGGGCGTGGCTCTCTCTTTGCTCACTTTCTGCTTTGAGTGGTGCACGTGAAAAACGATCTGCAGAAGAAAAAATATATATATATATATATGCAGATTGCTTTGATGTCAAGATAGCTCAGGTCACGCTCGGTAAGCACTTCAACCCATTCCTCCAGCTGCCGAACTAGACACTCACCCCCTCAAATTAAAAAAATGTGCCTGCACCACGGATCCCAGGGTGTTAGGGACAGCCAAAAAGGCAAAAACGGCCAAACAGCATCAGCACCAAAGACTGAAGAAGAGCGAGGCACACCCTATTTAGAACGTGCACCTCCGCTGACGCGACACAGCCGGCCACCGGGCACCTTGCCCTTTTCGTTCTAGCATTTCCTTTTCCTTTAAATTTCGTTAGTTCCCGGGATTTGAACGTCGCTTCCTTTGCATGTCTTCCCTGCATGTCCAACAGTTTCCTGGCATTTCCCTTCACTTCCTTTCGCTTCGTCAGCTCCCTTCATGTCCGTGAACGCCCCTGCATTCGCATTCCTTTCCCTTTGTTTTTTTAAGTCCCATTTCACGTCAGCTTCCTTCACATCCCTTCATTTTTCTTCAGCTTCTCTTCGTTTCTGCAATTTTCAGCCCCTTGTTTCGCATCGCCAGCATGCAAAGCATCACCCGCATCATCCGGGATGATGCTGGCAGTGCTGGGGGTGTTGTCCAGTAATGGGCACATTTCGCATCGCCAGCATACATAGCATCATCCGCATCATCCGAGATGATGCTGGCAATGCTGGGGGTGCTGTCCCACCCCACCCAACACACTCGTTTTTGGACTCATTTTTTGGATCCCGCGGAAAAATGCTACAAAAATCCTCGAACTAAACCAATCCGCGAATCCTTCGCCCCTTTTCAGGGCGGGCCCAGCGCAAGCGTATGCTTATGGTCGGCTCATGGTCTGCGCATGGTCTGCGCATGGTCGGCGGCATGGGGCGGACGGCCTTGTTGAAGGTAAGCCCTCCGGGCTTGGCCTGCGGCCTGATCACGTCCGGTGGCCGGATTTCTTTTTGCTTCCGTCCTCCGGCTCCCTTCGCGTTCTGCCCTTGCATTTTCCTGCATCGTCTGCATTCCCAGCGCCTTTGGTGCATCATCACCACCCGCGCGGCCACTGGAGCTCGGGGAAGAATGGCCCCAACTGCGGGCGATGCAGGGCATGCACGCGATGCGCGAAACACGGCTTCCGAAAGCGTTCGCGATGCTGGCAATGCAGCCGGGTTGCGACATATTTGCAGTGTTTTGAGCCTTCCCTCAACTCAAGCCATTTCTGATGACGCACGCGCGCGCTCGTGCGGGCGGGCGGGCGGGCGCGGGCGCGGGCGGGGGCGGGGGCGGGGGCGGGGGCGGGGGCGGGGGCGTGCGCGTGCGCATGCGCGTGCGCGTGCGCACGCGCATGCGCGGAGCACTAAAATACAAGAAATGGACCTCGTATTCGCCACGCAGGTCAGCTCGGAGTCCGGGGATCCGGGGCCCCGGGCCGTACTCGGACTTCAGACGCTGGCGGAAGACGTCCAGGTGCAAAAGCCCCAGGAAGCCGCACCTCGCGCGGCGAGGAATCGCTGCGCCCTCCTGTCGATTCCGTCGGTCTTAAGGGGGAACCCACGCCAAAAAAGGGTGACATCGAAAAAAAGGTTTAGAAATGCCTGATGCCAAGTGAAGCAAGAAGGACTTCGAGGGTGTCGGTCGCAACATGACCCAGAAAACATTCCGGAGGCCATTGGGCACGCGAGTTTGGAGTACACCCTCAAGTTTCCTCTCCGGGCTTTCTCAAAACACATAGCTAACGATCTTCCGCTGCGCCGACATGTGGGCATGCCCGAGATGGCCCCTTGGCCTAAGGGGAACCACCAGAATGTGTTGCGTGTTTTCTTGTTTACTAACATATGCGCCACGGTCAACACTCCTGATATTGACCATCACATCCATGGCTTCCAGAACCCTCCAAACCTCATTGAGGGGGTGTTGAACATCCATGTCAAACTGGTCAGGAATGCCCAAATCAGCCCCTGCAATGGCTCAGTCCTTTGTTTACGTTTGGGTCAAGGCGAAACAAGCCCAGTTTCCGGCTTTGGCAAGCTACAGGAACGGTCAACAAAGGAGGAGAGCTGGAAGCGTCCTTTGGTATGGTGTCCCAACAGGACAACAGGACACCACTGCCATGTGGGGGAGGGCTCTGTTTGAAGGAAACAGTTCCATGTTGATGCTCGGACGAACTTGGAACCACAAATGTTCCTTGAGCAGGAACATGTCCACTGTGTGCTGTTTGCCGGGACCTCAAGGTTTTTCCGGGGTCCCTCGCCGGAACCCCGCCATGGTGTCAGACCTTGATAAACCATCTTCCCGCGAAAAGCCGTGTGCAAGCCATTCAAGATGAGCACCCGTGCCGATGAGCAAAACCCAGGCGGGAACCCGCCTGAAGCCCGCACCCAGGACGGGCGAGATGTCTCTCTTGGCCTGCCGAAGCTGCCGAAGGCGTCCTTCTGGGAAACCAGGCCCACAGGTGTGCTTGAAAGATCACCCCATCAAGAAGAAGCTCGAGCATAGTTGGCTTTTGACCGCCCACTTGTAGAAATAACCTTCTCTTGAAGAAATAATCTTCTCTTGAAGTCCCCCCCCCGTTGCTGGGCGGGAAACTGAAAGGAAACGTTGGGAACCCTGCAAGGGGGTACACTTTCGCTTGAGTTTAACACCTTCTTTGTGAACACCAAACCGAAAAGTGAGAATCGGAACCCACAACATGGTCACCCAGTCGTGTCCCCCAGCGCACATCCCCCACCAAAACGAACACTCCGAAAGCCGATCGTTCAACCAGAAAAACTTCTTTGGTGACCAAAATGCTCATCTCTTTCAGTTTCCCCTGAGACGCAAACCCCCACCTGCCACCTCACCCCCCGTGACCCACCGACCGATCGACGGACTCGACGGACGCCTCGACGGAAGCGTCAGTGAGCAGCAGGCGCTGCATGGCCACCTCCAGCTTCTCCCCGTCCCCCACGGCCTGATGCAATTTGGGGGGTCACCCCAAAGGCGGGTCACCCCCCAAAACAAAAACAACAACCATGGAATTGCAAGTAGGCAAGGGGGTCACCCCCCCGGAAAAGCATCAACTAGGGATGGAATTGCAAGTAGGAAAGGGGAACAAAAATCAGCCAGGGATTTTCTTAATCCGGGTATGGACGCGCAAAAAGGCTTGTGTGTCTGTTTTGGGATTGGCGCCTTTCTGGTTATTGTAATGGGAACCAAAAGAGTATGCCACCCATTGAATGGAGAAACGCTTCCTATTTTGAGCATGTGTCATCCATGCCGAAGAGGGAACAAACGAGTCCAATAGGCAAGGTATCCCCCTTCAAAAACTGTTGGCAGCTCAAACCACCCCCCCGCCCCGGCTCGGCAACGCTTCCTCGCCTCTGGAAAGATCCCGGCATAGACCATCGGATGGGCAGGTCGAAAGCCGGGAAACGGCACCCCCGCTTTCTCGCCGCCTTAAGCTGCCAACGAGCGACCCTGAAAACTGCAAAAGCGTGGGTTCTAGCAGTGCGTTTTGGTTGGCAACCCCCATGACCACTTGGGTGTGAATCTGAATGGGGACCCTTCGGTGGACATCATTTGGGACCTGAATGATGTGGTGGGAATTCATGTCCACCAACAAATTTGAGGTGGTATTCAATTGGCACACTTCTGCAGAAGCGACCGTTTTCACCCATGTTCCGCGTCCGCGAGATCCGAATCGCGCTCGACCCCACCTTCGGCCCATACGGTCTCGCCCACCCGGAAACTGCGGATGTCCTGCAAGCGACCCTCCCCCCCTGCCAATGGGCGCATTGACACCAGACTGATGCCCCCGCCCAAACAAGGCAATGTGTCAACCATTCAGACCCCCAAATGGAAACCAACTGATGTGAAGCCAAAGCCCAGGTGAAAACCGTCAAGTCCCCCCCCCTTTGGGGTGAACCGAACCCCCAAAAATGGGGCGGGTGTTTTCCTCTTAATTGTCCCTCGAAATCATCCGAACCTCACTTCCTGAGTGGATGGCATGAAAAAGGTCTCCAAACTTCTTGGGAATGCCACTAACCCAAATAAATCAAGTCTATGAACTTCTTGCTGAAGTTCCCAATCCGGGTTTTGGTTGAATGAAACGTTTTGGGAGTCCCGAATAAAGGAACCTTTCACCAGTTGGATGGTTTTTCTTGGAGGCATTGCAATTCTCATTCCCTTATCGAACCAGCAAGACTCCAGGAGTGAGAAAAAGGGTAGCCCCTCGCACAAACTTGCTTGTTCTCAGCCTGAATGCCAAAAAAAATAACATGTCCTATGGTTTCCTTTAAGGGAATCCCTTCAAATTCATTCGCAACTCCCGGAAGGTCATTCCGTATCTCACCAAGACTTGGCCAGTGTCGCCAGCAACGCGCTCGATCCGTCCTTGGCCCCCACCACCACAAAGCCGATCTGCCCGCTGCAGAGGTGCTCCGTAGAGCAGAGGTCCGGGTACAAGAAGCCGATGTCCTCGGATTCGGCGTGTTCCTCTTACCCCCAAAGGACCAGCCGCTTCCATTTGCGGATACGTTTTCCTGGGAAGAATGAAAAGATATGTGATATGTCCAGTGATAGATTGTCAGATTACCTGGGCAAGCAAAAAAACGGGGAAGAATAGAACATGTTACGCACATGGAAGGCCAACAACAGGCCAACCAACAGTTGGGGTTCCAAACCCTTTGAGACAAACCCAAATGGCATATACACCCAAAACTGCTTCGATGAGCTTTTGGCTTCACTTAACCACCACAGAACAGGGAGACCTAAAGGGTACCCTTCAAGAAACGAAACGGGTGGTGTCCTTTTGTTTTCCCTTTTAAACCCCAGGAAGGGTGAAAGAAAGATCCTTGGACATGGTTGTGGGAAATAACCTATGCTCTGTCAAACCCAAGTGACCCGTGTCAAACACTTGCCGCCTTTCGCGCGAAATAAACCTGTTGTCCCCTTTCAGGGCTTCACTCCTCACAAAAAAGTTCCGCTTCTGCAGTTGCCCCATGCAGGGTTGATGAACTGAGCCGAACTCCCCAGGTGCAGGAGAGGGCCATCCGCTACAGAGTTGCTCCGAAGAACCTGAGGTAAACCGAGCGGAACCAAAGCAACGTAGCCGCAAGTCATGGTCGATGGAAGCCAAACCAAACGGAGCCCCAACTCATTTTCATGGACACCCCCGTCTCTCGGGCGCGGCCAGAAGCCGCAGCTCTTTTTCGAGGCGCCGTGGCCACGTGTAGCCGGCGGCTGTAGGAGCAAAAGATCTTGCTGCCCCTCTTCAGCTGGCCATCCTCCGTGTCACGTCTTCCGAACCCCTCGGGGGGGACCCTCAAAAGGCTTCGCCTTTGGGGACGTTGACAAATGGGCTGTGTCTGGTTTTGCTGGTATCCTCGGGGTGGCTTAAAAGGCAGCCAAAAGGAAACCAACCGTTTTGGAGGGTGCCCTATCTTGAGACAAACGAAAAACAAACCCACAAGAAAGGAATCCCAAAAGGGTACAAGGTCGACGTTGGGCAAATGAGAACCCCCAATGGGTGCCTTCCCTTCGGGTCATTCAAAGCCAGCAGTTTGACATCCCTGCAGCCTTACAGAAAACCTTTCTGGAGCCTAGTGACAGGTGGGATCCCAATGGATTATGTAACCCGTGCTGAATGCACGGAAAGAAATTTGGAAGATGTTCAAAAAATCCTCGCAGGAACCATTTGGGATGGGAGCCCTGGAGCGCTGGCGCCTGCGACACCTTGGAGACCCGTGCCTAAAAATAATCTACACATGGACGTGTGCCTTGCTTCTAGAAACGAAGCGATCTGAAAACCGGAACCACAGTAGTTTGCAGCCGGTCAGGCTCTGACCGTGGAAATCCAAACTGCGAACCAAGTCAGCCTCTCCCTTGGACGGTGTGGGTGTTTCACAAACCGTCGCTTTACCAGAGAAGCGAGCAATCTTTGGAATGGTTGATCCCCAAAATCATTGCAGGTAGGAGGGAACAATTCGTCTGCATCCACCAAACTCAACGAGAAGATGGCTCGCACGCTGCACCCGGATTGATCATCCTGGCAGATATTGATTAGGGGTATTTCGCTGAAAAAATCCCCCTGTAAGTTGGGAAACACCCTATGAATCAATCAGGAGTTGATTTTAAGGGTACACCCTGAGGTGACACCCGTAGGGAGATTGCCACACAACAAAAACTGAGACTTCGCACAAATCCGTAGATTCCGGAGCTTCCCTCTTGCATCAACGGGTTGACTGAGTTCCCCCTCACACAGAACTCACTCCGCCTGCACCGCGATGAGGAGCACCATGCCGCGCTGTCCTCGCATTTGCGTGAGGCCCCCACATCCCAAAGTGGCCATTGGTCAAAATCCTGTACCCCCGGTGAACATCCCAATCTCCATTAAAATAGACTAAAATGGGTGGTACCATGGCCTGGATACCCGCCGACCCCTGTCGGCTTGGAGTAGTTGAGGGCTCACAAGAGCGAGGAATCCGTTTTTGGCCGCGCCGGTGGTGATGCTGGCGATGTGTTGCCTCTGCGCGCCTGCTTCCGCTACTGACCGCGCCGGTGGTGATGCTGGCGATGTTGTTGATCATTCTCGCTGCTTCATTAACATTCTATATGGAAAGTGTGCAACGCAAAACCTCAGCCGATGTCAGCAGCTGGTGCTCCCACAGTCACGCGCTCGAAGCATATGATCGCGTGGCGCGGATCGCCGCCACTGCCACCGCAAGACAGGATGTTCTTCCGCGTAGGCGCGGCACAAACAAAGCAGGAAGCCGCATGACCCGTTCCGAAAGCAGACTGGCAAAGCCAGGATCAGGCAGCTCATCCTCTAGGAGTCCCTTGGCGACGAGGCCCGGAGCAGCGCTGTGAAGAGCTTTCGCGTAGCGCAGCTCCATGAGCCCAGAGCCTAAAGAAACGGAATCGATTGGCTTTCGGCTGCCTGGCTCGCAAGCCATCGCCCGCTCCGCGAAGTTTTTGGCTGCTCGCTGTTCCGCCGGTTCGCAAATGCTGCGCCTGTTTTGGCCTCAGCGCTCTTTTCCCATGTGTATTTTTCAAGCGTTGACCTGACCGCAATTGGACAAGGGAACGATGTGGGTCAGCAAGGGCAGACTGGCAAAACCAGCAAGTGCCTAGAGCTACTCGGCCCGAAGGAATGGGCGCAACACATCCTGCAGCGACGAATGTGAACAAAGGCCTTGAAGTGTCAACCTGAGGAATGACAATGTTTGGGCGAACCCTGTCAAGAAGCTTTCGCAGACCTAGAACCGGGTCTCATGGCCACTCTCTTCCTCAGCACTTCAGAGCCAGACACGGCACTGCCCACGACAGCTTTAGAGGCGGCACTCACTTGGCCGGCACCACAGCTGAGCACACAGCAAAACACGGATGTCCTACTACGGGCGGCCGCCGGGCCAATTGGGCAAGCCCTGCTTGTCAGTTGGTCGCACCTGAGCGGGGCCCCTTGGCAGCAATCCCGCAGAACGGACGCTGCCATGAAACACAGCAGCAGCAGCAGCAGCAGCAGCAGCAGCAGCAGCAGCAGCAGCAGCAGCAGCAGCCCAATTCGGAAGACCCTTGATCTCACGCAACCGGTGAAGAGCGCCGGCAATTAGCGCAACACCCAGTGGCATGAAGCCAAGACACAATTGCTGCAAACCCTTCGAGGTGGTCCCCGCGCATCCCCAGCTGTTCGAATCTGCACCCACCAGAGTCATCAAAAAAAGCCGTATTCAAGAGGTCTACCCAGAGGCCATGTAAAGAATCAAGAGGGCGGATATCCGTATCGACTTGTGGTTGGGACAGTCGGACTGCCCCCTTTCACAGTCATCAGTCATCTGTGGCTCCAGGAGCCCATACTACGGCCTTTCGAGTGATCATCTGAGCCCTGCGCAAACAGTGCTTTCCGGTCCCGTGAAACTTGTCCCGTACTCACAAGTCCAAACTCTTTCTTCGCCAAAACGGCCTTCCCCCCCCAAAAAAAAATGTGCGACGGGCGTCCAACTCAAACCGCGCGTGCTTCATGGGTTTTTTTTGCCAAGCGCGCCGCGCCCCGCTTGAGAAAATGTTGGCCGAAGGGGCGGTCGTAGTGGGCATCGAAGAGCAAGGCCTTGAAGGCCGCGTCGCGGGAGCCTGGGCGACCCAAACTCCAAAGACGGTCGGCGGTGGCTTCCGCGACGGGGGGAATGCATCGTCAAAGCCTGGTGCTAAAGGGTCTATCAAAGCATTATGTAGTATCATGGGGGCTGGGGGGGAGGGAGGAGGGAGGGAGCCCAAATAAGCCCTTTATTAAGCCCTTAATAAGGCCTTATTTAGGGCTTATGTGGGCTCCCTCCCCCCCCCTCCTCCCTGCCCCCCAGCCCCCGTGAATTATAATGATTATCAATATCATTGTTATGATTCCTTGTTATTACTACATACTACTATTGTCATTCTCACTAGCATTATTATTGCTAGTATTATCACTATCATTACCAGTGTAATTATTAGTAGTATTAGTATACTCCTTATTATTGTTGTTGTTATTGTTATTGCTATTATTATTATTATTATTATTATTATTATTATTATTATTATTATTATTATTATTATTATTATTATTATTATTATTATTATTATTAGTAGTAGTATTAGTATTATTACTATTATTATTATTATTATTATTATTATTATTATTATTATTATTATTATTATTATTATTATTATTATTATTATTATTATTATCATCATTGTCATCATCATAACTGTTTATTGTTATTGCTACTACTGTTGTTATTACCATTATTCGTTATTCATTATTCATGATGCGTCATTCGGTATTCATTATTATGATTATTAGCAATAGTCGTATTGCTTTATTCTCATAAGTAACAGAGCAGGTAAGATTGTGCCCCTCGGATTGCGGCCATTCGGGACGTGAGCAAGTTGGAGCCCTCTAAATGGCCGGTGCCATGGTCGTGAACTTCGAAGCTTGACTCGTTGTAACCCTGGGTGCCCGTGTGGAGAAAACGGTGGCACTGGCTGTGGCTGAAAAAATGGTACCCAAAATGGCCCCTTGGTAAATGGAAACAAAGACCAAAACCTGACCCTGGCTCTTTAGATAGAATCGCGTGGGTACTATGCCATGGGCAGCATTGCCATTTGATGATAAAAGAAAGGATATGATATCACGGATCTCTGAAGTTGAAGGTATTCCAACAATGATTATGCTTGATCAAGCGTCAAAAACAATTATACAATACATCAGATGGCTTTGATGTTTCAATGCAAAGTAGGATCCCCCCGCCCATGGATGCCCCAAACGAACAATAGACTACCAGAAATTTGTCGGTTGCTCGTCTGGGGGGTTCTCACAGGAGGGTAGGAGTCCCTTAACATGACTGTCCTGGTGGCGTCCCTTCAAATTGCAACACTCAAGAAGGCTTTTCTTTTTGCCCTCGTTCAACCAACCAACCCTTTTCGGGGGTGCCCTCAAAACTGCGGGGAAAGCTACACTCGTACCTTGGGCTCCGGGAAAAGAATGAAGAAAAAACAAAGGAGAAACAAAGGGGGGGAAAAAAACGGCGGCGCAGGTGCCTGTGCATCAACCTCCGCGCGTGCGAAGAAGAAAGATCGCGCGGAGCGGAGCGCCCCGCGCCTGGGGGCGGCGGCACCTTGCGAATGATCGCCTCCACGAGGCCCGGGACGCCCTGCCCCGTCTTGCCGCTGACCTCTGAGCGCTGGAAAAAAGAGGGAGGCGGCGGAGACGTCTCCTGGGGAAAAACAAAACAGCACAAATATGTCCGAGGTGCTGGATTCCCTGAAAAGCCAAGAGGGGGGGAAAACGGGTTCCCCTTGTCTGGATGGTTTATTGAGGGAAGCCAAGAGGAAAACCGCTTTGTTTTGTTTTGCTTTCTTTTTTGCCGGGGGGGGGGGGAATAAGAGAAATCCTGACAAAACGAGGGTTGCTGGCCCAACTCAGGTTTTGGGGCTGAGAAAAATCCCAACCTATTGTGGGCCAGACAGCAAACATGGCCATTGAAAAAAATGTGTGCGACTAGGCTCGTCTCAATACAGAGATTGGCAATTTAGGTGTAATTTTTAAACCGGAAGTGAGGAATCTCCAGGGACAAAGCGCTTCCTTTTTGAATGGGGTGTTGTTGGGGGTGGGGGCACAAGGAACCCTGAAACTGATGGGCAAAAAGTCGCAAATGAGCCTCGCTCTGAGCGACTCCGCCCGTCAAAGGCCCCAGCGAAGTGAGGCTGCCCTGTGTCTTTGTGTTCTCTTTAGAGCAGGGCTGTGAAAATGGAATCCACTTCTGTGATACAACAAAAAGGGCCTCTGAGAGACGAACCCCCCCCCATATAAAGAGGGATTCCCTTGTATCACAGAAGTCGTGTATCACAGAAGTGGGGATAACCCCTTGGTCCCACGACCCTGCTTTAAAACGTCAATGCTTACCCCAAAAACCTGGATGATATACAACTAACCGGTGTTGCAATTGTGGAGGGCAAGACAAATGTGTTACCAACCGTTGACCGTTGACCGGGCTGCCTTGCCAAGTTTGAAATCCACTCAACCTCCAAGACAGCTGTTTGATGCACCGAATTGGAATGTGCGTAACAGGGCTAGCGTGCGATTCCATCTCATCCGGGTGTTTCTGGCACTGCTTGCCTTTTCTGGTTTGGCAAGTCAGGCTAAAGGGATAGCATGTGACTGGAGATCAAACCAACTGAGTCGACGTTTCAAGGTAGGCACGGCAAAGGCCAAGATTAACCACACCAACCTTGGAGAACCCATTCATGGCGCTTGAAGGGGAACTAAAAAGAAACTGAGAGCATCCAACACTGAGAAAACGAATGTAGGTCTTTGTCCACATCCTTGCTTCCTGGCCACAATCTTGTAGGTGAACGGGGGTTCACTGCATGTAAACCTGGCAAGAGTTTCAAATCTGTCGCCTATACTTCTAAGGCCCTACAAACCCCAAATCGACATAAGCGAAATCAGTGGCTTGTTCATGGTTCAGGGCTCGATGTACCCAAAAACCAGCCGCAAATAAGGCTATGCAGCTGGGCTACATTCAGTAAGTAAGTACAATTGAGGGCCTTGCTTAGGTAGGGAATGACCCAGAGTGTGGGAAATGAACCGACTGGGATTCCCTTGAAGGAAACCATTGGGGATGGTTCATAGGGGTCATCCCCTGCTGAGAACCAGAAGAAACATTGCCCACACCCGATTTCTTTGAAAACATCCCCTTGCGCCATCTACACCAAAAGCTTATAGCACAAGTTCCCATGTTTGGCCATCCCCTTTCTATACTTGCCCCCATAAAATGCTGTCTCCCCCAAAATGGCTGTTTTCCCGTTGGCTTTTCCCTTTTCACACCCAGCCAAGAGGGGGTCCGCGAACACCGTGCCGCAAACCCACCGGAACTCGTTTCGTCGCCTCCAGCACCTCCTCGCCGCCCACGCCCGTGAGCATCGAGAGCTGCCCTGCGGCCGGATGTTCTGCCTTTTGGGCGGCTCCCAGTTGCCTCCCAAAAATATGTATCTATACTTAAAAGGGCAGGGTACTCAGTAAGTGTTTAGTAAACCTGGTTATAACCCACTTAGGAGACTTAGAACCATGGTAAGTGGGCTATAACAAGGCTTACTAACCACGTACTGAGTACCCTGCCCCTTCAAGTGTGTATATAATATATATTTATATATACATATATATATATAGTGTACTATATATACATATACATGTATATATATATACACACCTGGGTTTGAAATACATATTGGGACGTTTTGGTGGACATCATGGCGGGGATTCATGTCCACCAACCACTTGAAAAGGGGGCTCCCTATTAAAATGTGCCGTTCTTAGGACCTTCGTTTTGGAAAGAGGGTGCACTTTCATGTGGCGGGTGACGAGCATATACAATGACTCTGCCTCACATGGGATCTTGCTGTTTCAACCTCCACCACTTGACCCAAAGCCAAGCCAAACCACAAAGCACAAATCGCAAACCACAAACCACAAGTCAAACCAAACCAAACCAAACCAAACCAATCCACCACCACCACCACCAACCACCACCACCAACCACCACCACCAACCACCACCACCAACCACCACCACCACCACCAACCACCCCCACCACCAACCACCACCAACCACCACTTGTAGACCCGCCAAACCAAAGACGGGGTCCGAATTCCCGGGCTCACGCCGAGCCGCGCTTCACGTCCTCCTTCTGCGCGTGCTCGAGGTCCACCTGGCCGTGGCTCGGGCGTTTTCCCGGCTTCGGACGTCCCCGAAATGGCGCGGCGGCGGCCGCGTTCCTCTCGGCGTCCCATTTGAAACCACCGAAAGATACCAAGAGCGGGGTGTCCACAAAAAAAGGACACACCCGTAAAACCCCAAAAGTTGGGTGCGAGAAAAGAGACACCCAGGTGTCATAGGGATTTTGCGGCCGAAAATGGTGGGCTTTCCTTGCGGCTTCCCTTTACACCAAGCTGAAAAGCGCGCCCTCCAGAACCGCAAACCTAGGTACCCAAAAAAAACCTCCCCGGTCCCAAAAAATGGGGAAGGTAACGATTGTTGGAAAGATCCCCACAGTGTCGGCTTCCTTTCCAAACCCAATAAGTTGGGCTCCAATGGTCCCTCCGAGAAAGGCATGCGCATATGCGACTTGTTCCCCAAGAGGTTTGGGTGGGCCCGCATCTTTTCCAGTTTCATCAGTTCATATCCACGGCTCACGCCCAAAGTTCAGGCCTCTGAGGTTGACCATGCCGTGTTTCATCATGCGATGGGGTTATGGGAGCCAAGCCGTGCTGACTTTGCATAAACCATGGGAAAGAAGTCGGCCCGGTCGCAAAAGCGAGCAATGGGAACACCACCTTTCTTGCTGCTTGGATGTCTCGCTAGAACCTGGACACGCAGGCAATGCTGTCCGGCCACATTATGGCATCTGGCAAGGTGAGGTTGTCCAAGCTAACAATGGACCTCATCAAAGAACTCAGGCTTGGATTGGAACTGACACGGGTCTTGCACTGGTGGCGCGACAGGAACGTGCTTGGATTGGAACGCGCCAGGCCGCTTCCCTTTGGAAGATGAGACGGGTCATCCCTTTTTTCCGCATGGGCTTTCCCCCATCTGTGAAACCCATGGATGATATGCCCAGGAGGCAGGGAGGTCAGGGTCCCATGAGGTGGGGTTTGACACCTCCTTCGTGCAAAGGCCCACGTCCACTTCCTTTGTTGGGGAAAGGATAGCTGTCCCACTTCAGGACTCCTTCACTTCTGGGAGGAAACATTGATGTTTTAATGAATCCAGGTTCATTCATTTGGGTTCTGGGTGGTTTTGTTGGCGGCACCCCGAGCAATTTCAACATGTGAGCCAACCCAGGAAGCCGAACTCAGCTTGGTCTGGTGGTTTGGACGTTAGGGGCTTGCTCCCCCCATTTGCCTTCAAAAGGAATTGGGCTTCGCATCGCAAACAAATCCAAACCACCCATCCAGAAGCTGACCAAAACCGGACCAAAAAACGCACCGGGGACTCGTTTTCAAGCTCCGGATCCATCCGGATCAGCTCGCGCCTTGCTGAGGGCGCAAAGTACCTCCAGATCCGCCTCGAAGGCCTGGTGGAACGTGGACACCGTCTGCGCCTGGATGCCTGGGATCCGCTTGGAATGGACCGCTTGCGGATGTCGCTTTTTTCTTCCCCCTGTAGGATCCTCTTTTTTTTGAGACCCTTTTAGTACTCTTTTTGACGGTTTTTCAGGGTGGATCCCCCAAAAACACATATCCGAACAGACTTTCCAGATAGACCCTACTTGAAAGGGGCAAGCGATTCGGTACGTCAGGGGTAAGTAGTGAGAGTAAGCCTGGTGAGAGAAACCACTGGACGGAGACTTAAAAACCATGGCTTTTCTCGGTTATAACCAGGCTTACGAACCACTTACGAAGTACCCTGCCCCTTTCAGTAGCCACCTTTCAGTTGAATAGTTGGAGTGAATCAACCATTGATGCCCTCGTGATTGCGAAGTTGGATTGGGAAGCAACCCGTTTGCGTATGGTTCAACCATGATCTTCATAATCGGGAAGTTGGACTTGAGAAACCTGGACCCTAAGTTCTCCTTTCAAAAGTTGACACTCTGAGACTCCCTCGGTGTTCTTATGGAGCTTCGTTGTAGACAACCCAACGGTGCCGCCACCAATACAATCGTTCATTTTACCGACTATTGCCCGTGGTGGCTTGATTCTAACCCACCATATCTATATCATCTGTCCACCCACCAAAGTCGGACACATGGGGCAAAGAATTTAGATTCTGAACCATTCAAACGCCTCGACAGCTTCGATCTGGGCTGTGGCAAAAACCAGACATGGGGAACCCCATGGGTGGAGAGCTCGTTACGAGAGGTTGGGCCCCTCAGTTTTAACCCATAGATACAGTAGGGCCCCAGAAAACCCAAAACGAAATGCAGAGAAACCCTGAAAACACAGAAATCCCAGAACACCCTGTTTGGTGTCCAAAACCCAAAGAGAAATGCAGCTTGCTGTATTGATTGTTCGAAATCTCACGCAGCACCCCTCAAAATCAACAGCAACCTATTGACCCCAAAGCTTCCAGTCAAAAGAAACGTCCGACTGCCAGACCCATACGCCTGCAAGACTATGATAACCAACCACCAAACTGAAGCAAAAATAACAACCAACAATGACCACCCAGAGTAAATCAGGGAAAACCCACAGCGGATCCGCTGGAAAATCCGCCAACACCTTCCGGCTCGCCTTGCACCGCATCACAGAGCAGCACCGCGCCCTGACACGCCTGCAGCGACCTCGAGACCTGCGGATTTCCGATCGGTCCGTTCGGGTGCCCCGGTCCCCCCGTGGTGCCCCTGAATCGATGGATGGATGGATGGATGGATGGATGGATGGATGGATGGATGGATGGATGGATGGATGGATGGATGGATGGATGGATGGATGGATGGATGGATGGATGGATGGATGGATGGATGGATGGATGGATGGATGGATGGATGGATGGATGGATGGATGGATGGATGGATGGATGGATGGATGGATGGATGGATGGATGGATGGATGGATGGATGGATGGATGGATGGATGGATGGATGGATGGATGGATGCATGGATGGATGCATGGATGCATGGATGCATGGATGCATGGATGCATGGATGGATGCATGGATGGATGCATGGATTGATTGATTGATTGATTGATTGATTGATTGATTGATTGATTGATTGATTGATTGATTGATCGATTGATTGATTGATTGATTGATTGATTGATTGATTGATCGATTGATTGATCGATCAATTGAGCCCTGGAATAAGTCATTTGGATTGGCGGCTTGGTCAGTCGAGCCCCGGTTCTTGTGGCGGGGTTACTTCAGAAACCACGCCGGAACACCAAGCCGCCAATCCACCAATCGGACGGAAGCTGAGCTTTTTGCAGGGGAGAACAACGAAAAAGCCTGCAGAAGCCCCGGAAACAGAGAAGAACTTTACATTTGGGGCCCCATGTGGCCAACCTGCCTGGGACCAGATGCGGGGCCGCTGCAGACAAATCACGGCACGGCTTTCTACCTGGGCTGTCCTCAGATCTCCCTGCTAAACGCTGAACTGTTGGTTGGGTTCAGTGGAAACCCAACCACTAGACCAACTAAAAACAATTAAAATCCTAAGGAACCGGATGGCTGGGCACCACCTTTTTCCCGTGTTGAATGACGGCACCAACCCACGTGTTGCCCGCTTTTGCCGCGCGGATTGATTCCTTCCGCTCCGCGCGCGGATGCCTCGTAGGAGAAGTCCACGTGCCCCGGGGTGTCGATGAGGTTCAGCAGGTACTGCAGGCCGTCCGTTTCGGAGGTGACCAGCATGGAGCAGGTCTGAGCCTCGAATCGGCGGACGAATCCGCGGACACCCAGCCCCTGACCTGAAAAAAAAGTGGTCCCAGAACCAGGAAGAACCTCGGCTTGCCAGTGACCTGAAAAGTGAGGGTGTCCCAAAACCAGCAGCCCTCGTTTTTGATAAAAAGTCCCAGCCTGAGTTTCGGCGCTGAAAAGCCCAGCCCTCGGCTTTTTCCGGCGCCCTGCTCCACAGCACTTGCCATGGGTCGCGGGATCTGGGGCGGAAACATGGCACGTAGCGATGCAAATATTGAGAACCCCCTCTTGGAAGGGAAGGGAAGTTCTTACGGAAAAAAGGCAAAATTAATTATCTAGTGGGCCCGTTGTCAGCTTCCCACATGGCAGCACCTCAGCCAACTGCATCCCCCACCTTCACGGTGATCCCGCGCGTGCGCTCCACCTGGGCGCAGTTTCTTGCCGTCCCGTGCGCCCGTCTTTGCCGAACATCGAGCAGACGTGGGGGTCGTGGGGTCTACCATGCTTGGAACGGTTCCGGCTCTTAAAAGTCATATACAAATGGGGGGTTCCTCAATCCCTCCTATGTCCAGCCAAAGGGAAAACAGGAGAGGCGGGGTTCCCCAACTTTGTTGGGTTAGTCTGAAACTCCATGCCGTGGCCCACCACATGGAGGTTCCCATGTATAATTGACCGTAGACTGCTGGATGTGTTGACTCATAGGGTCGTTCAAGATCAAAGGGTCCCAACTTTAGACCAAAAGACTTTCCCTTATAAGATGTCTTTTCCGAGTCTCGCAAGCTGCTGGTCTCTTGATCTCCGAGTTCCCTCGCACCGCAAGTCGTCACGAGTCGTTTTTGTCGCGGGGGGCGTTTCAAACCGCCTCGAGGCCGTCCAAAAACTGGTCCGGGGCGTTGCTGGGGATCACGTTACAGCTCTGCAGCAGGCGGTCGCACAGGGTGCTCTTGCCGTGGTCCACGTGGGCGATGATGCCTCGGCGAACGCGGAACGCGGAAGGGCGTCTTTTTCTTGAGGGGAGACCTTTTTCTCACTTCCGATCCAGTGGTTTGGCCAAAAGGAGGGTGTGTTTACCGCTAAAATGGTCTTCCAAAAAAAAAACAAAGTCCAGGCACTCGGGGAGTGAGTTTCGGAGTTGGTCGAAAGGGAAACCAAAGGGAGACTCGAAATTGTGGGCTGGGCCTACTTTGAGACAAACCCAGAAAACACTCCACAGGCTTTGCCCGTCTGCCGGTTGACTCATTGACCGTTGCATCTAGCATTGGTCTTTTCCTCCGAGGAAGGTTGCTGACTTTTAGATCTCTTGTTGGAACAACAACAAAAATACAAGGCAAATCATACAAACTAGACCGAAACCAGTGGAATCCATCAATTTTCCAACCAACCTCACGGACCTTTGGGGTGGAAAACCTCTGAAAGTTTCGAAACCCCACTGAAAAAAGAAACGGCAACAACTCCCAGGACCCGTCGGTAAGGGGGCATCCGCGAGACGTGGCGCGCTGGAGCCGAGGCTCTGAAGTTGCGGTTCCGCTCGCGCGGCACCTGCGAGGCTTCGGCCACCACCGCCTGCGAGGGTTCGGCCGACGGGCGAAAGGCGGGTGGGGGCGAAAGGGAATCCGACAAAACACCACAAGCCGGCGGCTGCTTCCTTCTCTTTTTTTCCGGTCAACATGGCAAATGGCTTCCTGCAGAATCTAGGACCCCTGGTTTTTTGTTGTTTTTTTTTATTCGGTCAACCCAGCAAATGGTGTCCAGCAAAAGGGTGCAAGATTCTGCACGAACTGCGATTCCTGTGGCCTGCTTCTCAAGTGAGGGCTAGGCTATAACCCCCCCAGCCCCCTGCAAAACGCCGAAAGCACCCTTCGTGCCTTGCTACTCGAGCCGAAGCGGCATTGCGCCTGTCAAGAGCAAAGAGTATGGGCTAAACTAAGGGCATCCCAAAAAACTGGTCATCCCCTGCTTTCCCTTTTGACCAACATGAAACTGCCACTCCCCCCTCCCAAGGAAAAAACACACTCAGCAAAAACTTGGGGCATCCTTAAAATTGGTCGGAGGACTTCCATCCCCATTTAAACGTGTCCACCAAAACGGTTCCCAACTGAAAGCTCTTCTCAGGTGCCAAGACGAGCGCACGACTTATATACCAGTTCAGGGTGGCATGTAAGACTGGCTGAGAGCAGAATGAACAGCCTCAAGCAAAATAGGAGCACGAGGCAGCCAAACACAAAGAGAGAGAACAGGAAGCAGAAATGACAACCATCCAAACATGGGCATCAAATCACAAAATTCCCTTTTCAGACCGATTTGCAATCATGTTCCAAGGGCATTTGTTGGCTTTTCCTTTGACCAGCCTCCTTTTTTGGTTGGGTCCATTGTGGCTCCCCCAAAGATCTCAACCACCCCCCGGTACCGCGCCTGCCCAGCGCGCCATCCCGAGGTCGCTTGGCCCCTGAGATTCCCCACCCCCGCCGCCCCCCGCCCCCAAACGGGCGACGCACCCGGGACACGCATGTCTCCCGCGCGAAGATCGGCCCTGGTGCAGTACTTGGTGTGACTCAACACCTATGGCTGTGTCTTTCAGGTTCGACCCCCCGAACTGGCGGGGTTCCTTTCGGTTGCCCTTTACAACCAAAAAGGGGCAACTCCCAAAAGATGGCGAGCCACTCATTATATCCAAGGAAAACAACAGAGCGTGTGAAATGGCTGGCAAAATTAAACAGAACACGTCTCAAAAACTGTGAGAACTGCCATCCCAACGACTCTTTCAATGTCATTTAATGTTGCTAGATGTTTGTTTACTGGCAGGATCCGACGAAGAAGCAAGTGAGCCCACCCCAAAGGATATGATCACCCTGAGCGGGGTCGATGGAGGTTCTGACACCTTGAAAGCAACAATGAGTAGTTCAAGGAAAGCATATGGCTGTGTCTTAGGGTTGGTTTCCCTTTACAAACCACCCAAACGCGGGTACCCTCAGAAGAAACATACCAATGTGTATAAACTGCAAAAATGCTGTATACAACACTCGGACTTGTGAGAACGGAAAGGTTGCTATTTACAAAGGGGGAATTATCATTCCAGGGTGTCTTAGGTGGTGCAGGATTTCGTCCATCCAAAGTATTTCAGCAGGGAGTACGGGACAACCCACAAGGGTCCATTTGTGGTTGGAAGGGCGGCATTCAATTCATTGCCCGAGGACAAGCGAACCAACAGCCTGGGAAAGCGTAGCGAAACACAGATGGTACCCTTGGTTGGTTTCCGTTTGTCGCTCTCTCTCTCTCTCTCTCTCTCGCTCTTCGTTTCAAGCCTATCATGGCACAGTCCCAACCACAACTCGCTGTGGACAGTTGTGATTCTTTACGTCGGCTTTCGGACCCTTGAATGCCAGGCTTTGATGACTCAAATGGGCCCACACGCTTCTTGGTGTCAAAATAATCAGAAAGGAGACGGTTTGGCCCTGAGGCCCCAGAATGGGAATATATGGCCACACAGCGAATCCCACCCATTTGCGGGCAATATCGCGGGAGTCGATTCCTATGTGGGAAAGCTGGGACAATGACCTTCCGCATTGATGGGTCCTTCACACGCGAAGGTTCCTAAAAGGTATCAAAGAAGTGGGAAAGGTTCCCTCATTCCCACAACCCAACCCGGCTTCACCCCTTTTTCAGGCGATGTCCTTACCATATCCGACCTCCACAACCACCATGCAAGCTCCGGCTACTCCCTGCCTTTGGAGCGCCCGGCGCAACGCTAGGGAGGCCATCAGGGCGTCATGGCGTGCCAACTTTGTCCACGCGATGCGCCCACAAACGGGTTGGTCTTCGACCCGCAAAAGTGTCGTGTTGTGCGTGTATTTTGCCTGCTTGGAAGGGGGGGGGGGGGAAGTGACTTTCCAGGTGAAGAGGACAAAGGTTAAACCAAAGAGCAACCAAGTGAAAGTGGGAAGAATGCAGACGGTATCAAATCATGTGGTGCAGCAGCTTTGATAAATCATGTGTTGCAGCTATTTTGAAATGGCACAAATGTGCGATCAGCGCGAAATTCAAAATTAGGGACCCCTTCCGATGGTTGGTTCTCTGTTTTCCCCTTTGAACCAGTTGGTTTCCCAATAAATGGATCGCTTGTTGACAGACAAACTCTAGAAAATTCGGTCGATGGTTCGCCAGTGTGGATATCATGCCACCACAACTGGGTTGCAAGGTACAGGTGCTGGTTTGATTTCAACTCGCATGATTCCAGCATTCGACTCGTTCCCAAAGAGACGCGGGAAAATTGGGTGGGGGCGTTCACCGTCCTAAATATTCATCTCTGATCCGGGCTGTGTTTGCAGATGTGTGCGTCCCAGATTCGAGTGGTGTTTCCCAATCTGGGTGTCTGGTTTGCCCTAAACCGTCCGGAAAGGGTTTTTACTTTGACACGGCGCGTTTGGCTGCGCCGTCTTGAGCCGGATGCGTAGCGGGACACCTGGGGAAATAAACCGAAAACCAGAGAGAAGAAGAATGACGAGAGGAAGAAAGTGTGGTGTGACGTTCGAAGGCCAGCTCCGAAAAAATTTGGTAGCTGGTTTCATCATGCGGCTTCTGCGAATGAAATTGCTATCTCAACAGGTATTTCAGCATGTGAATCAAGCTGAATGTTTGTCATTTACCCAAATCGAGCACGTGCATGCCATGAGAGAGAATTGGGCAGGCGGGGAAACCGTTTCAAGATTGTCGGGCAAGATGTGTCATAAGGCCTCCCTTGTGGCTTCACTCTTTCGGGGGGCAACAGGCGGCATTTTTGGGGAACCTGCTTGGCCACAAAGTTGGCTGGCCATATCCCCCATCACCGGCATTGCTCGGACCCAGCCGATTGGCGAGCTCAGGTCTTGGGTTTGTTTGGGGTTCACTTGGGCTCGGCAGAGAGTTGCCCCAAACCACCAAAAGTAGCCCAAAACTCACGCAACCACTAGAGCCACTGCTAAACGAGCTGCACACCTGCCACAAAGCAGCCCCTAGCCAACCCAAACCCAAAGTCAACCTTAAACCCACCCAACAGCATCCTGGATGTCAGCCCTTTGCCAAGCCTAATTAAACCCCAAACAGCCACAAACCTGTCATAAACTCTCAACTGCAACCGAATCAAAGCCGACAGGCAAACTCTGGTGTGGTAAGCGAGGTTTCCTTGCTTCATGCTTCATGCATCGAGCCGGAAGCCTCTTTTGCCATGAAGTGCACGCTGCTTCACATGCTCCCCCTTTCTTCTCGCATGCCTTCGGCAAGCGACAGGAGAATCAGTCGCACAGGCATGGCCTTTGCCCAAAGCGCCAATACTCCACAAATCTATGAGCCGACGTTCTCATGGGTCAAACCTCTCAAGGGATATAAGGCAGTTTCATCGTGTCAAAACTGAATTTGGAGAGTGGGGTCATTTGGTATTTCGGTGAGTATGCCTCATGCTGTCCTCCTCTTGCAGTGGCCGTCCGCAAATATTGACCATGACTTCGCAGCACTGAACCGTCGGCAAAAGCCCTGCAAACCGCGCCATAGCAGAGCTGTTCAAAGTAAAATGATCCAAATGTCGGAGACTCTCTTTCCCTTCTGCAGCTTATCAAGGGCTTCAACGAAAAATATCCCCCCAACTTTGAACCCTCCCGTCGCACGGCGAAGCCCGAAGCCCGTCGCGACCGCGGCGGTTCCGCGGTCACTTCTTCTTCTCCCGGCCGGCTCCACGCCACCACATCTCGTCGCGACCGGTCTGGCGTGCAGCTTCTAACTTCCGACCCGGCTGGCGATCCCCAAAATGGCTTGCCCCGGTAAATGGAAAGGACCAAAATTTGTAGTTCAACTCCGGGTGGTTGAATTTTGACCCATCATTTGAGGACTATTCAAAGAGTCTCAGTTTTGGACCCTGTTGCCTATTGCCCGTTTACCCCGTTTTTTCCACCGCTGAAAAAGACCTGTCCGAAAAGAAGCAGCTATTCGATCTCTGGATGTACATGATTTGCGCTAGGAAAAAAGCTGGTGTTGGAATTCAGTTGCAACTTTCTCATTACAAGGCATTGCAGCCTACAAACGAACACATAGTGCTTAAAGTAGCATGTAGAAACTGATGTTTCCAGAAATGATTACAGCTGCAAACTTTGAAGATAAGACGTGCCTTTGGGAAAGCACGATACCTAGCTGGTGGGTGACACCGCAGTATGTGCGTGCGTGCGTCTCTCCGCATGTTCAGAGAAGCGAATGAAACTGCTATCTGTTCCTCAACAAGCAATCAACTTGAAGTTACAGAGTCAAGCAAGCATCAAACTTACAAGGGGATGCTCCTAAGCAAGGACACATCCTCAGAAACGTGTGTCCTCGAAACCCCAAATCTTGTAATACTTGCCTGCGCTCCTCTCCCCCAACTGCTCATGGTTTGTGCTGCAGGTCCGTGCAAAACCTTTGCGAGACCAGTCGCATGCCAAGTTCTACAGTCAAAGCAGTCGAACTTCAGGAAGCAATCGATTCAACATTGATATTGTGGTTTCTAGCAGAGACTTCGATGTAGCCTATCGTCTTGGGCACTCCCAACAAGTCTTTGCTGTTGGACCCCTCTTGTGAGGGCAATAGAGGAACTTCCTCATGGAGGTGGAGGTGAATTTGTTCGCTCGAGGGCTCCCAGAATCTCCATAACAAGGTCAAGGGTAAACCCTGCTAACCTTGTACCTTGCATCGCATTCGATCGTTGACTTTTTCAGCGTCCTGCAGTTGCGGGTTTGGATTTGTCTCTTCACAAATGACCCCCAAAAAACAGCCATGGGAGAGGTCCGTTTGAACTCCTGTTTAAACCACCCCAAGAAGGGAACCCTGAAAAAGGATGGCACCTGTTTGCACTCTCAGCATGAAAGTTGAAAATCGTGAGTCGGAAAATCGTCACACTGCCAGCTTCCGTTCAAAGGTTGACATGGCAAACCAGCAAGTGTGTGTGTGTGTGTCGTTTTGAGCGTACCCCTTTTGGGTGGCGTTGAAGGGAAACCAAAAGGAAAACCACGGGGATCCCTACAAAAGACACACCCAAATGTTGAAACCCCCTCTCTCTTAGTGGTTTCTTGAAGAGGAGACCCCAATTGGGAGGATGAATGACACCAATCCCAAGCAACTCAAGTAGATCGCCGGGGTGTTGCACCAGCCGCTTCATATCATGGAAACCCCAATGGTTGCCTACTTTGTGTGCGGGGATCTGAAAGGATGGTATCGCGAAACCGAGGGCGATCTGGGAAGCTGCGACTCGATAAAAAACCGTCCTCCTCCGTCTTGTTGTCCACCCTGAGTCGACAAGCTGTCCACGAAAATCCCCCCCAAAAAAAAGGGATTCTCTCTGAAAATCGCACGCCGAACACCACGGGAAAGTCTTGACTCCAAATTGGGCGACGTTCCTTGGGAAACCCCATGGAAAGTCTCGTGTTACAAAGGCTGGAAACTTCTGGAAATTGTGTTTTTCCTTTTGGATCCCCCCCCAAAAAAACGATGGGCACCTTGGAAAAAGGCAGAAATATGTCAAAGCAAGAAGCCGCTTATAACTCACGGTGCTAATGCAAGCAAAACACATCTGGGTGCCCGCCCAAGACAAAAAGTGTGTTGTGTCTGTTTGAGCTTCTTCTATGATGTCTCTCAAACACAAAACCATCCAGTTTCACGGGCTTACAGGAAACCCACAAATATTCTGCTGTCGGAACCAAAAACATGGACTTGTCCCAAAGTAACTAGCGGACCCCGCAACGCGGTGGCTTTACTATTGGCTTCCCAACGAAAGCAACCCCCGCACTTGAGGGAGGGGCCACGGCACACACATACGCGTGCAGCCCGGACCATTGAGGGCCCGACATGCTGGAGCTCTTGCTAAACTGCGGCGCCTCTCCTGCGAATTGCGAACCAGAAAGCTGATTCTGCATGAGCGGGTATGCGTAGGAGGGTTTGTTCAAAGGGAAACCAAAAGGAACACCACCATTTTGGAGGTCCCCTATTTTGAACACAGCTTCTCCTTTTGCACCTCCCCCTCCCAACAGTGGGTCCTAGTTTGGACCATTTTTCATCAGGGGGCCCAAGTACGTAAACTCCATGTTAAGAGAGTACACATCGCCAACGGAAAGGGGCAATAGGAAGGTGATGTGTAAAGTCACTCAAAGGAGAAGCCAAAAGCAAACAACCGGAGATGTTGAAAACCAATCCAGGGAACCCTGAGATACGCGGTGTGCACAGACCTGACCATAACGAGCAACCCAACACGCAGTTTACTGGGGATTACAGAAACAAACAGAAAGGGCTACAGCAACCCTTGACCATCTTGGAGCCAAACGTCAAGTCACGTGACGTGGATGCGCTTTAAGCTTTTCCAAAAACAATGTTGTCTTTTTCGGCGTAGTGCAAGGGAGGTGGGAGCTCCTGTAGATCCAATCTTCTCGATGGCTCTACAGGATGCTTCAAGCAACAGGCACAGCACGAAAGCTGCCTGATCCCAAAAAAAACTACGGGATTACAACGTCCTCAAGCTGCCTCTTGTAGTTGTGGAATGTTCCCCCGCTAGCCTTCAATTGTCCGAATCGGTCTTGGTTCTGGCCAGGTCCATTTCCTCACGTCCATTCGAGAGCTTCCAATGCCAAACTGAGCGCTTTGCGATCCATCTGTGGCTACCACTCATGACTGCCAAGACAATACGCGAGCCTTCGGTTGGAGTTGAAGAGTCCTATTCTTAGGAACACCCCCAAAAGTGCCACCCGCCCGCCCAACGTGGAATGCTTCGGCGTGCCTAGCTCCTTCGACGGCAGCGAGCCTTCCCTCCTTCGGATGACAACCCCGTCAGCGTGGGTGGGGGGTGATCCCCAAGTCAAGGATTCCCTCAATGGGGACCCCCCCCACTCAAAACTGGTGATTCTTCCTGGGTTCCTATTGGCAAACATCTCTGCCCCAACTCGTTTGCGCTTGCTTCCTGTCTTTATCACTCATTCGGAGCCATCTTGAACAGAAACATGGTCAAAGGCCCAGCAAAAACAAGAGGGTTTGTCCTTCGGCAATGCGGACCTACCTTTGCCCCTGCGAAAGTGAAACTCCCTGTGTCAAAATCGGGGGATCCCAAAAAATTGCGTTTGCCCCCATTGGTTTCCCTTTAAACCGCCCCAAGCAGGGTGCCCTTGAAACAGAGACAATGCCAACCCACTCACCACTCACCCCCCCCCCACCCACCCCCACCGTTTCAACTGCGCCCCACTTGGGCGCCCGGCCGCATGGAGGAGCCCTCCTCGTCATAGTCCGCGCGGCGCTCCTCCATTGAGAGCTTGTTTCCTGGCCGATCCGAAGCCTCTCAGATGCCCAGTGGCTTCCCATGGGGAAAAAAGGGCAAAGGCATCCGATTTTTGTTGGGTTGCTTGACTTCAAAGGGAAGCCTTCCTAAAAAGAAAGGAACAAAGTGCACCACTGGCAACTTGGTGCTGATTCAGGGTGAGCCAAGGGCTTGTTTGGGCTGTGTCAAATGCGGCTTTAGGCTTGGTTTAGGTTGAACCCCTTTTACTGCGCGAGGCAAGGTGGATAGTTAGACCCTGGATTTCACTTGTCCCTATCCGGGAGGAAAAAAGCAGCCTCCTACAGCTGACTGTGGTTATATGAAGGCTGAAAGCTTCACTATTCAGGTGTATCTCAAATAGGGCACTCGGCCCCGTGCTCTCTCTGGAACACCTTTACCAGCAGATTTTTGGAGGTTTTCCTTGTTAAGCAGCTTGTCCTTGGATCACTACTGGCGCCCTGTTGAACAGCCGGCGTCGGCCTGTCTGCCCTGGCTTCCGCCGCCGGCGCGCGATGTTCTGCTGCGCCTGAACCCGGTCCCGGTCGGGGAGGGGGTTTAAGGGAAGCCAAAAGGACCGAAATCTTTCTCTTGTTTTTGGGGGGTCCCTTAAAAGACACAAGCAAGCTCCTTTTGGTCTCCCTTTCGGACCAGAGGCTGGTGCAAGTGCCGGGCTTCTCATATCCGTGTTCCGAAGTTTGGGCGAGACAATGTGAAGTAAAAAACAGAACAGGAACTCCTAAAACGATCGCCCGCGGCCTTGTGGCCACCTCGATGGGTCTTTTTGTTTTACTCGCGCCGGGATCCATCTGTCTTGGGAAGGAGGCTGCGGGACAGGAACCTCCGACCCTTCCAAGCCTTGTGCCGCAGCTCGCTACGGGTCCAAGTCCTCAGAAAGGCCACGGCGACAGTTTTTCTCCAACGGTTTTTTTCTCGCGGGGAGGGGGGCAACACGGGAAGGAACTTCACCTGAACCCCGGTGAAGAAGTACAAACAGGGTTGACACATGTGGCGATACACGAGGAAAACGACATGGGGAAATGCCCCCTTTGGGCATGAAAGCACCTTGGGCGGCCGGTTTGTCCTTGCCCGTTTTGACGTGGAGTTGACTCCCCAGGTGCAAACAAGAAACGCACAAATCTAGCCTCCCCCAGAATAACATGGAAGCCTTTGGAAGGTTCCATGAACAAAGCCCTTCTGGGAGCTTCCTTAGGTCTGAAAAAGTGTGACCGGCAAGTTCAAAATCCATAAGTTGCCAAAAGACTCAAGGGGCCCTTTGGCGCCACAGACCAGTGAGGAAAGCCCATCTGTTTGGAGAGCCCAAGGCCTCCAGGCGGAATTCCGCTCTCCCCGTTTGCTGGCGGCCCCGGCGAGGTCTCGATGCCAGCTTCCTTGGAAGCCACATCCGAAAGTCGGACCAAGGCTTTAGACTTAGCCTGCCAAGCCTTTGCAAAACCCCATCCCACTGAAACTTCCAACCCTTGAAACCTTCTCCTTCCGGACCTGCCCCGAATTCTCGACTCACTCATGATCCACGGCCCTCATTTCCCGAGTTCCCGGAGCCCGTCTCGACGCCCTCGTCTCGGGGCCCCGGGCGTCGTCGTCGTCGTCGTCGGGGGCGTTGGCCAAGGTGAAGTGCGCCATGGAGGGCAAGTCCGTGGGCTTCTTCAGGCCCGCCGGCTGCTGGCGCATCGGAGGCCATCGGAGGCCATCGGATGCCATCGGATGCGATCGGAGATGCGGCTCAACATGAACAGGTTTTTGAGTGGTTGCTTCCATTTTACCAAGGTGCCATGTTTGGACATGGCTTTTTGAGCGACAGGCATATGTGAGGATGGAAAAGATGGACATCCCATCTTTTCCAGGTGGCTGGTTGCGTTTATGTGGTGAGAAGGGCAACAAATTGGATTTGAAGCTCGGGAAAGCAAGGAAACGGAAGGGGTCTAGCCGAAGAACATGCTAAGAATCGACAGGGCTTCCTGGTATTCGCACCTATGGCACCTTCGGTTTGATTGTAGCCCACCTTGAAGCAGCCACAAGCGGTAAAAAGCATGCCTCCGTCAAGCCCAGGGTTCCATGCGGGGCATTGTACGTAAGTGGCGAGTAAGCCTGGTCATAACCCACAAAAGCCACGGTTATAAGCTTCCATTCAGCGGGTTTTAACTATCTGCGTATTTTCCACTGTCGAATTACCCCATTTTAAGCCCTTTTAAGCAATCTTAGATCCGATTTTTTTAAGGCAACCATTTCCTAGGGATTAGGATCCTGGATTTGACTTCACTTCGACCGCCCCTTTGAGGAGGGTTGACCATCCCTGCCAGCCCCTCTGATGGCCGGCAGCCCACGTGCCGCATACGCAGCGTACGCCGTACGCCGTGCGCCTTGGCTTGCACCCCGGTGTGCCGCATGTCTGCCGAGCCCAGGCATGCCCTGAAGAGCATCAGTGCCTCGCAAGGAAGACTCGAGCTGGCGCAATTTATTCAGCATAGCTGGTATGGTTCTATTCTGCACTTATGATGTGATTCTACTCAGCATATTTGATACGGTTCTATTCAGCATAGCTTGATACTATTGAGCGTATCCGATATGGTTCCATTCAGAATATCTGATATGGCTCTATTTAGCATGTCTGGTATGTCCGTTCTCCTGCCATGGTGATTGCGACCCCGTTCTTGTTAATGGTGTGTCTCAAAATTGGGGACTCAGTGTTGGTCCCTAAAAGGAAGCCAAAAGCAAGCCGACTCGTTGTGAGGCCCCTTACTTTGATGCCTACATGTCATTGTCAGGTGCGCGCCGTCGCAAACCGGGGGATTAAATCCTTCTACCCCAGGAATTGGACCCTCAAAGGTACTTGGTGTCCTCTTGATTTCCATGTTAAACCCTTCACAGAGGGGGTCATTTTGAGAATGCCAGAACCTTGGGATCGCGCGGGCAACCGCTCTGAGTCGACCAAGCGGACCGACGTGGTTTCTCTGCGCACAACTCCACCCGATCCAAATCGAGCCGGACCTCCTCGACGTACATCAAATGGTGATTCCTGAGTAAGGTGACATGGATGCGCTGCAGTTAAGCTGATGTGGAGGGAACCCCCTTTGGGACCAGTAGGACATGTCGCTCAGACGCATGCACTTCGGAAAATCAACCTGCTGAGCTGACTGGCCAGGATAGTTAGAACTTTGGCACTCGAAGAAGCTGCCAAGGAAAAGCTTGAAGCTTGTCTATTCAACACGCACGGTTGGGGTAAAAGTAGGTGGCGCAATCAATTCCGCTAATTCAGCTCAGTCCCCTTTACTTACCCACATGCCATCGTGCTATCAGCCTTCACACTGGTGTGGGTTCTCAGTGGGTTCCTTGTGGTTGCCCTCTCGGCTTGCAGAAACGTGGCTCGAACCCTGGGGACCCCACATCTGACCGTCATGCTCGTCCGGCGCTGACATCTGGCCACGATCTCAGGTTTCCTTTTGAGAACCATTCATCAAATGTCATGGTAAGGCCCATGCCCCACTACAAATAAAGGGCGGCTGGCACTGATCCTTGTTCAGCGCAGTCGCGACAGATACCACACTGCTTGCCAACACTGTTCAGGACAAGATGGCGCTCATATCGCATGCGTCTTTCCGTAAGCTGGTAGTTCGGCATATGCTATAAGAAGCTCATCATATATTCAGGCTTACATATGCTAGCTCCCGGCCATGTGTACGAATTGAGCTGGAAATGCAATAAAGCTAAGCTAGACGCATTTAAATAGGCACTTGAAACATGCTAGATCGTACGATAGAAACAAATCAAAGTCTATGCTGAAAGATATAAACCACGCATACTGGAAACCAGATTCAGATTGCATTGATACACAATTATGTTGGACGCATGCTAGACATAGCAAAGCACTTGCCACGCACTGAGACTTCTAGACATGCACCAGACATATGGAAAGTGCTGCGCATATTCCGAATGCAGGCTAGAAATATGCTAGGCAGGTACTAGTGAGAGCAGCCCAACCTGAAATACTCGAGGCAAACACTCGAGGCAACCGAGACCAAACACAAGCACCTCGCAAAAAGAACAAGAAAAAGGACCGAGTAAAACAAAAGAAGGAGAAAAAAAAGGAAAAAACGATGCCCTGTGGGAAGTGTTCAAGCTTCAAGATGATTACCTTTTGTCTGGGACTGTTTCTGGTTTGTTGTGTTGCTTCTCTGGAGTTGGTGTAACTCTCGGTGTCCGTAAGCTATGGTGAATCCCAAGGTTCGCGGTGCAGAAGTCCACAGAAGTCAAGCAGAAACGAGTTGGGTATCCCAACCCAACAGTGACGCGATGTCATCGAATTCAAGGGCTGGTGAGGGGCAATGCTTTCTGTAAAACCCGCAAAACAAGGGTTCCCCTCCCAAAAAAAACACGCACACACACAAACAAACAAAGCCGGGCAGTCCTCGGATCGCCTGCAAAAGTTTATCTTTTCGAAATGAAAACCCCCACTAAACCAACCAAAAAGCTGAAAAAGCTAAGGAACCGCATGGCCGGCAAACACCAAGAAAGAGAATAGAGTCTAGAAAATGGCTTGGATGCGGTTTTTGTGGATCCAGCCCATATGATCTTAAAAGAGTACTAAAAGAGTACCTAAAAAAAGAACCCACAGAAAGAAGAACAGGTGAAATCCATAAAAAGCGCGAATCCCAACCGCTTTCTAGACAGAGCCGTTTGAAGATCACCTTCAAAGCTGCCTTCATGGCGGGCAAGTCCCCCTCGTAGCCCTGCTCCACCAGGCTCGGGATTTCCTCCTTGAGGAACCTCGGCCGGCGCTTCCCTCGTGGGCTGAAAATTCGGGCGGTTTCCCAAATTTACCCTCTACGAAGGGGAGAAAATCCCGAAGCCGCCAATCCAAACCACCTGTTTCGGGGTCGCCTGATGAAACGGCCCCTCCACAGACAGAGAGCAGATCTTCGAGGACGCACTATCCGCCGACAGCTTCATTTTGCGGCGGAACTGTCTAGGGGGAAGTGAATCTACGAACTAGTCCAAAGAATTGCAGCATCCGTTTGCAGTGTCACCAATCTTTGGACACCACGAGCTTGTGTTTGACGGTTATCCTTTTCGGGCGCATGTCAAAGGGACAATGAAGGTGTAGTTTTTGGAGCAGGCGTGTGAACGCCCATGTGGGAAGTTACGACCAAACCCAGGACTGGCCACAGAAGCTTGGGATACAGGAGTCGATTCCAAATCTTATCCTCAAACAACCATTGCATCAAGATCCACAAGACCCCACCTCAAGTTATTTGCTCTGCGTTGTGGGAATGACCTCAAACGGTTACCAGAGCAAACAAGTTGTGGCGGCTCTTGTCTGCAGCTCACTCCCAGCAGTTACTTCAAAACCTGCCGAGTCGTATGGATGCCGCGGGACCAGGGCGAAACAAGCCTTCCTTTCCGCCAAAAGCCAGGCTGTTGGACAGAGCACCGTTGCCAATGTATCATGGACTCAGGTTTCGGTTGCTTTCACAGCTTCGCAACCCTTGTGGGAGCTATGGTCCCATTTGGCACATGGCAGCAATCCGCGCTCTCACAGACCCACCACCCACAGACTGAGACAGAGGCTTGACGATGTTCCAAATGTTTGGCCGGCACCTCAGAACGACACATTGAACTTGGGCGTTTTCATAAAACAGTCTACATACATCTTTGCACGCATGTTTGCTCCTTCACTTTGTACGCGTGCTGTATAGTTATGCACACATGACAATTTATGTGTATATATACATATGTATATACAGTCAACCTCCCCCCCCCCTGAACATACCTTCACTCCGCAGATGTCTTTTTTGCATTTGGTGAGCGTCAGCAGGACAAAGCTAAGAACAACTCCAAGGAAAACGGAGACCCAGAGACAAAGAGAGAGAGAGAGAGAGAGTGAGAGAGAGAGAGAGAGAGTGAGCGAGTAAGAGAGAGAGAGAGAGGGAGAGATAAAGCTGAGATAAAGATGAAGATAAAAGGAAAGAGAATGAGAAAAGAAAGAGAAACAAAGAAAGACAACAAAGAAAGAAAGAATGAAGTACAAAAAGAAACAACGAAAGAACAAAAGAAAGAAAGAGTGAAAGGGTGAAAGGGTGAAGAATCAAAGAATGAGCGCCACAGAGAGGGTTCATTCAGCGAGCATCTTTGGGGGCGCTTTTGAAGAGAAACCAAAGGGAAAGCCCTCAGTCGGCGACAAGCCCACTTTCGGCGTGTTAGAGAGCTGGATGCCACATCTTTCTGATTCTCTTCTTAGCAGTTTCTAAACGAATCCGAATCCCTGCAATCTCTGGAAATGTTGAGAAATGGGTGTGCCTCAAAATTAAAGAGCTAGGGTTATGCAGGTTTCAGCTTTTGGTTTCATTTACCAAGATGCCATGTTGGAACATGTTTTTGAGCCACAGCCAAATATTCTATAGACCCTACGCCCTCCCCATTGACGGCCCGGGCTCTTCCAGATATTTGGACAAAGCCGCCACGTCGTGGTCCTGCGCGCGACCCATTTTCTGGACTCGCAGGGGGGCCAAAGCAATCTTCCCGGGCCAATTGGGCGAGCATTTTTTGAGGGTGCCCTTCTCTTGGTGAGGGAAACCAAAAGGGAAGCCACCAACTTTGAGGTCCAAGCTCTACCTGTTCTGACACAAACTCTGCAAGCCTTCTCTTCAGTGGCATCTAGCGTCTTCTGGATTTGCTGCTTGATCTCGGCCAAAGCCTTAGGAAGTTCGCCAGGTCCAGCTAGATTCACCAAAAACTTCATCTAACTGTCCCTTCTTTTGAGGGGGGGCGTAAATTGGAAAGCCAAAAGCAAGACCCTTGTGCCATTTTGGGGATGCTCCGGTCCGATTTGTGTATCCTCTTTTCATGGGCCCATGTGCATGATTCCGGAGGTAGATGCACGAGTTTGTTTGCTTGTCTTTATGCCAAGCAGAACTTGCTCATGAGAAAAAAGAACAAGAACACAGCAGGCCTGCAAAAAAAAAAAACAGAAGCAACACATCGGTCCACAATTTTTGTCATGGAAGATCATGTAAGTCCCGTTGTAAGTCCTGAATGACTGTAATTTGCAGTCACTACGTCCACAAACTGTTTGGATCGTGTCTTCTCCCTGTTCGGAAACGCAATCCTGCACGAGAATCATATCATGAATCACACCCAGCCTGCTTCCAGCTTGATAAAACATAGAATAGAAACCTCTTCCCACCACATGGATCTCATTCCTCAGTTCAGATTCCATGCAGTCGAACCAAGTTAGATCGCGAGGGTGGCAACAAATTGGGTGAGTCCTTTTGGTTTTGGCACTACACTGGGCGCCTGACTCGCGCGTCATGGCCCTGTTCTGCCACCTAAGCGAGAATGTGTCTGGGTTGGGATGTGACTCCCAAGGTGGGGGGATTCCTTTTGGTTTCCCTTTAAATCACCGGCACAAAGGTTACCCTAAAGACACACCCACATCACTTGCACGCACATCACCTTTCTTCGACGCATCCTTCCAACTTGGTCGGCAGATCCGACGCCGTCGGGAATTCCAATTGAAACGCCTGGAAGGGGCACTCCTAAGCATGCAGAAGTCACCCTGTATGGAACCCAGAGGGTCACTTTTAAAGGAGCAACCCTCGGGTTCCATGTTAGTTGGGGGCAAGACGGCAATGTTCAGAGCTCCCGAACGCGCAACTTCTCACAAACGGCTGGTTTGCCTTCGCTCGCCTTGAGAGGCCAGTAAAGGAAAGAATTCCAAGAAACTCGAGGCACGTGCTACACCTCTACATCTGCAACGCATCCACAGTTTTTCCCCAGCACATCCCTGGCATATCCTCAGTGCCTCCCCCAAGGCATCACTTGTGCGTTGTTCTCTCTGTCTCTCTCTCTCTCTCTCTCTCTCTCTCGCTCACTTACGCGCGCTTGAGACGCTCCACATGTGGCAGCCCATGCAAACTAGAGTCTCCACTTCAACTCAAAATCTGGCCGGTGCCTGGAAACAACACAGTTGCTCTTTTCGGACTCTTTTCGTGGCAAAAATGGAGGCCTTCCCCCCTCGTTTGCGATAGGATATGGAATCCCAAAACTTCGTATCCGTTTGGCTTCCAAACCTGCAGGGTATGGACGAGAAGGCCCCGAAGAACGAAGTGACTTGGCCGGACGCATTGGGCGGATGCCAAAAAAACAACAACGTCGTTTTGGATCAGCCCAAGTGGTATGTGTTGCCCTCTAAATGGGCACGGAACCCGTGAAAAGCGCGAGATGGGAGGTGTCTCTCGTTTCTTAGGGTCCTCTTTTGGTGCAAAAAGTTGGAAACCCTTCAGAAATACCAAAGCCATTTTGGGATTTTGGGGCTCCAACTTTATATAATAAGAAAAGACCCAAAAGGCGGACGCCCCGAAACAGATTGGGACTTCAGACGTTCTTCCCGTCCGAGCCCCGAGGTCCGCCTGCTTCCCCGCGTAGGTCAGCACCGCCGGGAAGTTCTCCGAGGCGTGTGGGTTCATGTCCTGGATGTTTTTTCCTATAACTTGCAGCGTGGGAATGACCCTTCTAAACCATCCAACTGGTGGTTTCCTTCAGTCGGGAATCCCAAAACGGGACAACACAAAAATCTGGGGCTCTTGCTTCGGTCCACTTGGACAGTATGGATCAAGGCTCAAGGCGAACAACTGCATATCAAGCTTCAGCCCTAAGCCAACCCCTCTCACCATAGTAGGAGGGAATCCGTTAAGGGATCCCCAGATAAAGAACCTTCATCATGGTGAGCTCGTTATACCCACGAATCGGTCAGCTTGCTAGAGATTAGGCAGACTGACTCGTTTGACGACGATGACACGAAAGCGCGCCAAAGACGGAAAAAGCGGGCGACACGCTTGGATAACAGGGGGTGGGGTGGGTGGGGGCCCCGGGTGAGGTGGCGGAGGTGGGTGGGGGGGGGGGGGGACGGAGGTGGGGGCCCCGGAATTGGGAGATTTGAAAGTGTGAAGAACCGATCTGCCACTTCCGGCAAGCGGCCCTCCGAGATTTATACCAGAAAAAGCCCGAGGCATGGGTGTCTTTCTGATGTGTGACAAAGCGCAACCCCCCAATGGCATACGAAACCCTGCCAAAAACACACAAGTGGGGTCCCTTTTAAGGACCAAGCTTAAAGAATGACAGGTTTTCAAGAAAATAACTCGCAGGCTTCATGCAGGTTAGGGATCAAGAAACAGCCCTTTGCTTTGAGACCGCATAAAATTATCACAGATACCTTGTCTTTCCGAAGGGACATTCGCTTGGTACTGTGGATGGTTACGAAATCCATTTCGCACCACCTCAGAAACCATGGGAAACCGTTCTTCGTTGGTATTTACAGGGGAATCGAATCATTCCAGGGTTTCTTAGGTGGTGCAGGATTTCGTCCATCCACAGCATCACGGACAATGGGCCACAACCTCATTTCCCACAGCTATCCCCGCTGGCAACGAAGGCGAAAGGCATCCACGGAACTGCCCATTGACAGTTGTATTTCTTGGTTCAGCGCTGAGCAAAACCATTGCTCGTTCACAGTAGGGAATATTTAAGTACGCCCAGCAATGTTTCTAGAGGTATCCATTCATTGGAAAGGGGTCATTCCAGTATTTCCTGAGTGGATGAGTAAACCTGGGATGTTCTTCTTCGGGGCCAAAGCTCCGGCACCCTCTAAAATAGGTTGCACCATCTATTCGTCACGTCGTCGGTACAAATTACTTCGCAACACAGAGTATGCTCTCAAACAAAGTTGTTTGGTTTGCATCCCCCCCCGGCTGCGAAACGTAAAGAAACGCAGCAAAACCTCAAAAAGTCTGCCAATCTGGAGCTGCCGCGAATCTCCCCGAATTCATAAGCCTGGTGGATTTTCTTAATCGGGTGTTCCCCCCCTCCCCCCCGGCAAAACCATAAACAAAAAAACGGCGAGCTCCAACATCGCACCGGCGAAAAGCCCAGCCCGCCTTCCATGGATCCGCCGGCCCCTCGCGCGAAAGGAAGGGAGCCCATTCACCTTAACCCTTGAAGCTTCAGGGGGAAACTGAGGCCTTTTCACAGAGACCTTTTAAAACTGGCCCTGGTAAATGGGCCGAAAAGCCAATCTCAACCAGTGGATCCTATCAATGTCCAATCAAACTAACCTGAAAAGGAAACCCATGCCTTTTCACCTGTTTTCCAATCGAAGACAAAAAGGGCCTCAAGAGTCTAGACTGGTCTCTCTTTCAACCTCGACGTAGAAACAGACAGAGAAAAAAAAATGCGCTGCATTCTTTCCGGAGTTGGTGCTCTCAGGCTGGGGGAAACCAAAAGGAACAGCATTTGGGTATGAATTCTCTTTTTGGTCGGTTTGAAGGGGAACAAGCAAACCGAAGCCATTTCGGGGCAGTCCAACCTTAAGAAGGAGCCCACTCACTTTTGGGGGCTGAGCGGACGCTGCAAACCCCGGACATCCGAAAACGCGGACGCCAGGCCTCGGGGTTCCGTGCATCGATGGTGGCCTGCAGCTCCTTGTTCCGAATCCTCGATTGTGGCTGTCGCTGGGTTTTCCTCGCGGCCTCCATTTGGTCGTTTTAAAGGGACATCAAAGGAAATTGAATTTCGCAAAGAAAAGAGCATTGATAGTAGCTTACCCTCGGAAAACATCATGTCAAGCAGAACGCCTGGTTACCTACTGTAGTTATGGCAACTGGAAGCACTGGGTATGGATTGAAGACTTGCAGTCTCCAAAAGATGCCAGCGATTTGGGTGTTTTTTCTTCGAGGATATCCCAGTCTCCAGCTTTGACACTTCTGGTGTTCAGTCAGCTTCCACTTCCAACCACATCTCATGCGATACAAGATGCGAATCTCGTGGGTTGGTCTGCCTCCGTTGCTTCTTGAAAAGGTGGGAAATGCGGTACATTCCCGACACAGCTCATTTCTCTGAGACTGGAAGGCCTTCTCAACAACAATACTGTACAAGGAATATAATCCTGCATTCTTGCAAAAGTACGCCCACGGGCATAACCTTTCAGTGACAAACCCTCTGGTGAACACAACTTATGTATACAATCCGGGTCTGTTTCCATTCGAACGCAAGGCCCGGCCCAGCGTCTGAATGGTCTCGATGTCCCTGTTCAGCTGGTTGACGTAGGTCAGCAAACTGAAATTCCGCTGCTCGAGGCTTACAAAGATCTTCACAATCTCCTGGCGACATTTGGCTGTGGGTCAAAAATATGTACCCAAAATGGAACCCTGGTAAGTGGGAAACATGGACCAAAACCTGCGGTTTTTTTGGTGGTTTAATTTTGACACATTTCGCCGCTCCACGCGGCTGCCTTTTGCCTCTGGGAACCCGAGGTTAAACACGGTGCAACGTGGGACGAACAGTGGGGCACCCTCAACAAAAAAAAACTGCCCACGTCCGTTTTCTGTGTCCCCTTAAACCAAAAGCTGCTTCAAATCGTCGGTGTGGGGTTGTCTGAAACATAATCGGAACCTTCCAAGCAGGGGGAATTCTGTTCATTCCCCTCCAAACCACGCCAAAAAAGGGTATCCAAAAAAGAGAAGCCCGCGTCACAAGCTTCACTGGCTCCAACTGGATTCACCATGAGTTGTTTCTGGTGCTGTCGACAAGCCGCTTGAGATGGTCCTCGATGTCACTGATCAAGGTACTGGACTTGATGGTGGAGAAGGCTTGCTCGAAGACCTCGATGTTCTTCATATGCTGCTTGATGTGCCTGCGCATTGGCCGAGACAACTGCCGCGCGGGAACAAGAATGCAAAACATAGAACCACGCGTCAGAACCCTGGTGTCCTCGTCTTCCTCAAAAAGGGGGTGGTCTCCTCAAAGGGTCGCCCTTGCCTCGTGGCGCCCAGTCAGCCGCAGAACATCTCTTCAGGCCTTTGACTTTCGGACCCACCCGTAGACAACTGCCGCGCGGGAACAAGAATGCAAAACATAGAACCACGCGTCAGAACCCTGGTGTCCTCGTCTTCCTCAAAAAGGGGGTGGTCTCCTCAAAGGGTCGCCCTTGCCTCGTGGCGCCCAGTCAGCCGCAGAACATCTCTTCAGGCCTTTGACTTTCGGACCCACCCGTAAACAGCTTTCCAAACAAACACCCTTGCAAGACATCCCAAAACGCCCGATAAAACTGCCCTTGCCCCTTTCCGCACCCTTCCTCTTCCCCCCCCCCCCCATCCTTGGAGAAACCGTCCTTTCCGTCTCGCCACGTCTTCTTGGCGGTTTTCTCGGCCTGCGCTGGATGGTGTTCAGGAAGCAAACCTTCAGGATCCGCCGGTGCATCGCGCTCTCCGAAAAGGCCTCCTCCTGCGAACTCCGCCCGATGGCCCGATGCTCGCTTTGGGCCTTAGGCCTCCGGGGAATGAAGGGCCAACCGTCTTCCCAGCGCACCCCTGTTTGAGTCTCAAGAAGGAAAATCATCTTCTTGGTGCATAGGGAATGGGTGGGAATAAACCGTTTTTGGGGATTCCAGAAGAACAAGCTGGATGGTTTTTCTCAGGGGCATTCCCTCATTCCCTGCCGAGCACCAGCAAGTCATTAAGACAACCCTCCATTCTGGAAAATGTTTATATCCTTATTGTTAGGCTTTTCAGCCGGCAGCTGCCAGTCTGGAGCCCAAATTGTGGCAAGCGGAGTGTTTCAAGCCCAGTTTTTGAGGGGCTCCGAAAAAAGTATCCCTTAAATTTCCCCCAACTGTTGCCCAAAGAGGAAAACAAGGTTCACCTTTTGGGGGGGAGCAGTCCTCATCCGCGACCATGTAATTCTTCCTCCGGGACGCACCACGCCTCAGAGATCTGACTTTGACCGAAAACAGGGCAAAAGGCTGCGGAGGCTAGGTTTTGTTCCAGGGTGGCAGTTGGGTATGTGTCAAAACAGAGGGACAAAAAAAAAGTGTTTCCTTTCGGTGTCCCCTTAAACCAACCTAAGAAAGGTCCCTCAAAAACACACAGGCTGTTTCAGAGGGAAACCAAAGCTGCGGCCTCCCCGCTAAGACAAACCCAAGTGGAACTGGACGAGCGGTGGTAGCAACACACTACAAGAAGAAGCCTGATGGCGCGTCTATGCCCACATCTTTCTTCACTCATCTGAAAAACCATTGTTTGAACAGGTGTTAAAACACAAAACCATAATTTCTCAAAGAGAACCGCCTGCCCCCGCTTGTCGGTGTTTCTCTAGCCATGACAGTTGGTTTTTGGCAAAGGATAGCAGCTGGAAGCACAAATGATCGAAAGCGTGGGGTTGTGACCGTTGTCACCTCTTGTGTGACCATGCTAATCCGCGGAAGAGATGTGATCTGAATTGAGATTGGCAATCAAAAGTTGATGTCACCTCCCAAGGGACATAAGGAGCCCCCCAAGCAGCTCGTCCCTGCCCTCTGACAAGGCTCGCTGTGCAAAACCCTCTGCCCGGCCTCTCCTCGCTCTTGTCCGTCCTCCCTGCGCGGCTCCTAAGGTGGGCAAGAGTGGCCCAAGCTTCTCGGACTCATCTATCGCTAACCAGCTTTCTTCAGCGACTTCTCTTCAAAAGGTGCTCCTGTAAACTATCAAGCAAACAACCACCGTAAGGGGGCAAGCATCAAACATTAGCGATCCCAAACCAGCAATGGTTTGATTTTGTTTGCACGTGTGCACTCATCATTCTTTTTTGTCTGCATTCAAACACAAAAAGCCACATTGTCATTGAGTCAGGCTGCTTCTCCAAAGCTACTGGGCTACGTTCAACTATAAGATCTGACAGGATCTATGTACATGCCGTGCTTGCCAAGTCTCGGCATGCAACCATCTGTCCAGACTGTCCTGCCCATCGTCTCTGGCTCTTGTCGCTTCCCAATTTTCACCCGTCCCAAATTCGGGGTTCCGCGCAGCAGCTCTTGCTCTCGCGCCTGGCACAGAAGCGACCGATTCGCGACAAAAGATGTCATGGGTCCGCAATCGAGTCACATGAAAAATGGACTGCCAGTTTATAGAATTCCAGGGAAAGCCAGTACATTTATTGGGAAAGCGGACTACCAGTCATCACATGGAAACCCATTATAAACATGTATTTGGGGGGGGGGGGGGAATGGTCTGGCCGACAGCCTCGGCCACTCCATGCTACTCCAGGCGCCTTCTGGTTCTGCTCACGAATCTGCTTCTTCAGATCCTGACACGCGAGCGTCACAAGAGGGTTCCTTGCTTGGGATCTTTCTTGCTGGCAAATCAACGGGAAACCACCTGCTGATTTAAGGGGACTCCCTCAAAGAGCAACCCACCTGGCAAGATTTCGCTTCGAAGTCACCTGCTTTCTTTTCTTCCCAGATGATACTCACAAGTTGAGCGGAGAGGCATCTTTCCACAGACGTGGGCATACTGACCTACGGGGCGGGTGTCTTTTTGAGGGTACCTTTTTTCGGGTTTGCTTTGAAGGGAAACCAAAAGGAAAAACACCATTTTGGGGGTTCCCTATTTTGACACACACCCATATGTGGGTCTTCATATGTTGATATACACATGCAATCACATGTGTTCATTTCAATATGCATATCATTGTTCACCGACCTTTGTTATGAGCGAGGTCGCGTTGCAACCCCAACCACACATACGCATACAGAAAACATGTGCGACTTGCACTGAGACAAAAAAAGACTGTGCGCTGAGAGCAATGGTAAGAGGTTCAGGGGGTGCCGCAATAATTTTGCCATACATGAATGTGAATGCGCACATGCAGCATTTTGTGAGGGTCGGCCATATGATTTCGGGGTGGTTAAGGGAAGCATGGGAAGCCAAAGGCGCCCACCCATTCTGGGGGTCTTAGTTGGAGAGAACCCATACGCCCAGTACCTTCCCATCCAGAACAAAAAGCAGAGCTGCATGGGACTCAGCCGTATTTTTTATTTGCCTAGTGACGTCAGGTTCTCTTTGGGTACAGTATTGAAATCCACCGACTTGACCACAGGGTGTCATGGTTTGAAGCAAGTGCGAAGTTCACTGTACTCAGCGTTGATCACCTGAGACCAGTGAGAGGACAAGTCCTGATGGCATGTTGGTTTTCACCGGGTTTTTGTTGCCCCTTTTCTGCATCCCTATTTGCAAAACACCCATGCGCCGGCCTCGGTATTGGTCTGGAAGTTCTTCCTCTCCCGCTCCAAGGCCTTCCCTCACGTTCCAACGACCCAAGTGCAGCCAAGTTTGTTTCCAAATGCCAGGCCAAGACATGTCTGTGAGAAGCCTTAGAGGAAGGACGCATGCAAGCACAAGCCGATGTTGGAGATGTTTGATTGACTATCCTCTTACTACTTTAGAATGGCAAAGCAACCAATCCACTCACTTCTGCACCAGCTGCCCCAGTCTCAACGGCAAATGCATTGCACCACTGCACCTGCCTAAGGCTTGGCACCGCTGCTGCATTTTGTCGTGCTCGCACCTGTGCAAACAACTCGGAACGTCTTTGCAAAAAAACTCACAGCTTCAACGTCCCTCAAATCACCAAGTGCACAGCACTCTATTTGACTGCCCGGCTTGTTGTTGTTGATCTCCGAGTTGGCCTCTTCGATCGCCTCTGGAATCGCGGAAAGAGCAACGTCAGTCTGTGAGAGGACGGAGCCCTTCGATTT